TATCAAAGAACCCCATATATTCAATTTTTGTTAAAATCAAACAAAGTTTAATTTTGGACCCCAACTTGGACAAACTTGAAAACTGGGCCCATAATAAAAAATCTAAACACATGTTTAGATTCAGCATATCAAAGAACCCCAAGAATTCAATTTTTGCTAAAATCAAACTAAGTTTAATTTTGGACCCTTTGGACCTTAATGTAGACCAATTTAAAAAACGGGACTTAAAATTAAAAATCTAAATACACGGTTAGATTTGGAATATCAAAGAACCCCAATAATTCAATTTTTGATGAAATCAAACAAAGTTTAATTTTGGACCCTTTTGACCTCAATATGAACCAATTTGATAGCGGGGCCCACAAATAAAAAATCTAAATTCATGGTTAGATTCAGCATATCAAAGAACCCCATATATTCAATTTTTGTTGAAATCAAAAAAAGTATAATTTTGGACCCCAACTTGGACCAACTTGAAAACTGGGCCCATAATCAAAAATCTAAACACATGTTTAGATTCAGCATATCAAAGAACCCCAAGAATTCAATTTTTGTTAAAATCAAACTAAGTTTAATTTTGGACCCTTTAGACCTCAATGAAGACCAATTTAAAAAACGGGACCCAAATTAAAAATCTAAAAACATGGTTAGATTTGGCATATCAAAGAACCCCAATAATTCAATTTTCGATGAAATCAAACAAAGTTTAATTTTGGACCCTTTTGACCTCAATATGAACCAATTTGATAGCCGGGCCTACAAATAAAAAATCTAAATACATGGTTAGATTCAGCATATCAAAGAACCTCATATATTCAATTTTTGTTGAAATCAAACAAAGTTTAATTTTGGACCCCAATTTGGATCAACTTGAAAACTGGGCCCATAATCAAAAATCTAAATACATATTTAGATTCAGCATATCAAAGAACCCCATGTATTCAATTTTTGTTGAAATCAAACAAAGTTTAAATACTGGACCCTATCTTGGACCAACTTGAAAACTGGGCCCATCATCAAAAATCTAAACACATGTTTAGATTCAGCAAATCAAAGAACCCCAAGAATTCAATTTTTGTTAAAATCAAACTAAGTTTAATTTGGACCCTTTGGACCTCAATGTAGACCAATTTAAAAAACAGGACCCAAAATTAAAAACCTAAATACACAGTTAGATTTGGAATATCAAAGAACCCCAATAATTCAATTTTAGATGAAATCAAACAAAGTTTAATTTTGGACCCTTTTGACCTCAATATGAACCAATTAGATAACAGGGTCCACAAATAAAAAATCTAAATACATGGTTAGATTCAGCATATCAAAGAACCCCATATATTCAATTTTTGTTGAAATCAAACAAAGTTTAATTTTGGACCCCAATTTGGACCAACTTGAAAACTGGGCCAAAAATCAAAAATCTAAATACATGTTTAGATTCAGCATATCAAAGAACCTCATATATTCAATTTTTGCTAAAATCAAACAAAGTTTAATTTTGGACCCTTTGGACATTAATGTAGACCAATTTGAAAACTGGACCCAAAATTAAAAATCTAAATACACTGTTAGATTCGGCATAACAAATAAATAAATGTGATCAAAGATTTTACAAATCTAATGCGCCATACTGTGCAATTAAAGATTACTTCTTGAAATTTTTCAGTATTTGAAATTTGAAAAAAAAATAATATTTGAAGAATAATTCTTTTTAATTTCTGAAATCTGAAATGAGAAAAAATTGGCCCCCCACAATTTCTTTTTATCCCCCCCCCCCCCCTTTTTCCCCCAAAAAAATTCTTTCCCTCAAGATATGGTCATAATCTCAATTCAAATTTCCAATGGAGTTGGCAACCATAATTACCCATTTAAATTTACCATAGTGCTAACTTAATCTATTTTATAATAGAATTAATAAAAATATAGTGTCAAATCTTTCATATGGATTTTTTTGTAAAAAAAAAAGATGAAAACATTTGCAGATATTTTTACTGGTCTTCCTTTATAAATATGCATTTCTTTAAACATAATTTAAAAGCAGTGTAAGGGAAGTAACCAAAACGTTGTATTTGGATTACCTCCCTTACACTGTTTTAGATTATCTTTATTGTTCATTAACCATTACTTTATACATAATTTAAAAGCAGTGTAAGGGAGATAATTTCAATGATGTATTTGATTTATCTCCCTTACACTGCTTTAAATTATGTTTTGTACTAAAGTATTTGTCCATTAACCAGGACAACCTTGTTTTTCCCCCTTTTTTGCCCCTAATTCCTAAACGGTTTGAGCCATAACCCCCCAAAGCAAATCCTAACCATCCCTTTGTGGTATGGAAACTTGTAGTATAATTTCAGAGAGATCCATACACCATTCCACAGTTATTGTCTGGAAACTAGAAAATGCTCATTTTTGGCCCCTTTTTGGCCCCTAATTCCTTAACTGTTGGTACCATAACCCCCAAAATCAATCCCAACCTTCCTTTTGTGGTATTTAACCTTATGGTCAAATTTCAAAAAGATCCATTCACTTAAACTAAAGTTAGAGTGCGAAAACCAATATGTATTCGGACGACGACGCCGGATGACGACGACGACGACGACGACGCCAACGTCATACCAATATACGACCACAAAAATTTTTTTGCGGTCGTATAAAAACATTCAGATAGTCTTTAAAATCAAAATTTTGGGCTTTAACATTCAATATCATAGAAACATTTTTGTTTCTTTGGGCCTCTTGTTTGAAGACAGACAATAGAAGCAGCATTAACTCCTGACAGGTGCCAATAAAATGCTCCACAGGGAGCAGCTTGATACGACCGCAGAGGTTGAACCCTGAACAGTTGGGGCAAGTATGGACACAACATTCAAGCTTGATACAGCTCTGAATTTGGATTGTGATTAAATATTTGACACAGCATAGGTTACTGACACAGAATGAATGTGGTCTAAGAACTTAAAAATTTTAAATTGGACATTCACCTATTATGGTCCAATATCCAAAATCTAAATACATGGTTAGATTCAGCATATCAAAGAACCCCAAGAATTCAATTTTTGATGAAATCAAACAAAGTTTAATTTAGGACCCTTTTGACCTCAATGTGGACAAAGTTGATAACGGGGCCCAAAAATCAAAAATCTAAATACATGGTTAGATTCAGCATATCAAAGAACCCCATATATTCAATTTTTGTTGAAATCAAACAAAGTTTAATTTTGGACCCCGATTTGGACCAACTTGAAAACTGGGCCCATAATCAAAAATTTAAATACATGTTTAGATTCAGCATATCAAAGAACCCTAAGAATTCAATTTTTGTTAAAATCAAACTTAGTTTAATTTTGGACCCTTTGGACCTTAATGTAGACCAATTTGAAAACGGAACCAAAAATAAAGAATCTAAATACACGGTTAGATTCGGCATATCAAAGAACCCCAATAATTCAATTTTTGATGAAATCAAACAAAGTTTAATTTTGGACCCTTTGGACCTCAATGTGGACCAATTTAAAAACGGGGCCCAATATCCAAAAACTTAATACACGGTTAGATTCAGCACATTAAAGAACCCCAAGAATTCAAGAATAAAACCCCATTGAAATTGGTCAAGAAATAAGCAATTTATACGAAGTATCTTCTTTTGCACAATACTGTGCAATTGAATATTTCTTGCTATTGCGCAATACTGTACAATTGACAATTTCTTGCTATTGCGCAATATTGTGCTATTGGATATTTCTTGCTATTGCGCAATACTGTGCAATTGAAGATTTCTTGCTATTGCGCAATACTGTGCAATGGAAGATTTCTTGCTATTGTGCAATACTGTGCAATTGAAAATTTCTTGCTATTGCACAATACTTATTATATAATAATTTACACATCCTGTTTGGTGTGTATCTCCTACCATATCATTATTATTTGCTTTTAAATATAAATCAGAAATAACCAACTTAAAATGGAAAATTTTAAAAGAAAAAAAATGAAAAAAAAAAATCCCCCCCCCCCAAATTTTTGGAAACCCCTTATGATTCATCACCCCCAAACTCAATCCCAGCCTTCCCTTTGTGGTATGGAACCTTGCAGTACAATTTCAGAGAGATCCATACACTTGAACACAAGTTATTGTCCTGAAACTAGAAAAATGCTTGTTTTTTTCCCCTTTTTGGCCCCTAATTCCTAAAATTTTGAGGCAATTACCCAAAATATCAATCCCAGCCTTCCCTTTTTGGTATGGTACCTTGCAGTACAATTTCAGAGAGATCCATACACTTGAACACAAGTAATTGTCTGGAAACTAGAAAAATGCTATTTTTGGCCCCTTTTTGGCCCCTTATTCCTAAACGTTTTGGGCAATTACCCCCAAACTCAATTCCAGCTTTCCCTTTGTGATATGGAACCTTGTAGTTCATTTTCAGAAAGATCCATACACTTACACACAAGTTATTATCATGAAACTAGAAAAATGCTTGTTTTTTGCCCCTTTTTTGGCCCCTAATTCCTAAAATTTTGAGGCAATTACCCCCAAAATCAATCCCAGCACTCCCTTTGAGATATGGAACCTTGTGGTACAATGTCAGAGAGATCCATACACTAACACACAAGTTATGTCTGGAATTTACAAAAATGCTTATTTTTGGCCCCTTTTTGGCCCCTAATTCCTTAACTGTTGGTACCATAACCCCCAAAATCAATCCCAACCTTCCTTTTGTGGTATTGAACCTTATGGTAAAATTTCATAGAGATCCATTTACTTAAACTAAAGTTAGAGTGCGAAAAACCAATGTGTCTTCGGACGACGCCAGACGACGACGACGACGACGACAACGCCAACGTCATACCAATATACGACCAAAAATTTTTTAATTTTTGCGGTCGTATAAAAACCATATTGACACATTCATACTACAATGTTTTTCAAGTAACACAACAAACTTCAAAGATTGTATAAATAACACAGTAGAATTTTCTATAAAACTAAAAATATGACCTACCTCCATAGCAGTAGCTTGCAGTTCCTCTGAGTAAGCTAAACGTTTGGCCAGCAGAGTTTGGCAAAGGGAACAGATCAATGCTATAAGATTTCCCATACCATCTCCTGAGTGGGCTGATGTAGGTATTAGAGAAATATATTCTTTTGGATTTTTGTTTTCATAAAATAAAGCTGTATTCAATCCCTGGAAAAGAAAAAACATATTCCATAACTTACATTCATTTCAAATATATATTGAGACAGAGTCTCTAGAAAACTTTTCAATTGACTGGATATTTTTTTATTCAATCCGTTTTTTAATCTCATTTGCAATTTACAGACATCAAGGCAAACCAAAATATATAGGTATTGGCTGTTTTAATGAGTTCTACCCTCACATTTATTTTTTGAAATGGTCATCATCAATATATGACTGTTTCGAAAACCATGACAGAGTTCCCAAAATGTGGTGGTGGGAAGGTCCTGACCACCAAAATTTGGCAAAGGACAGACTTAATTTTGGTATTTTGCAATAGAAATAATAGTGAGGACCAGTCAATTTTCTTCAAGGATCACCAGGAGAAAAAAGATTCTGTGAACTTTCGTCGCAGGCAATACAAAAACAGAATTTTTCATGATAAATTAAAAATAAATGGGGAATGTGTCCATGGGACACAGATAATGCCCCCGCTTGCATATCATATAAAGTTATAAAGGGACATAACTGAAGATCAGTAAAAGTGACTCTACCCAAATTTGTCCTTGGTCTGAGTTTTCTGGTAATAAGTATTGTGTATAAGTTTCATAACATTTGGTTAAGGCAAACTTAAGTTAGAGAACAGAAACGAAAAAATTCAGCAATTTTTCCCTTTGTAAAGGGGCATAACTCTAGAAAGGTTAAAATGATGCCACCAAAATTCAAACTTGATCTGTGTTTTATGGTAATAAGCATTGTTTATAAGTTTCATAACATTTGGTTGAGGCTAACTTAAGAGAAAGGAAATGAAAAATTCAGCAATTTTTCCCTTTGTTAAGGGACATAACTCTAGAAAGGTTAAAATGACGCCACCAAAATTCAAACTTGATCTGTGTTTTGTGGTAATAAGCAATGTGTATAAGTTTCATAACATTTGGTTGAGGCAAACTAAAGTTAGAGAACGGAAACGAAAAATTCAGCAATTTTTCCATTTGTAAAGGGGCATAACTCTAAAACAGTTTAAGTGACGCCACCAAAATTCAAATTTGATCTGTGTTTTGTGGTAATAAGCATTTCGTATAAGTTTCATAACATTTGGTTGAGGCAAACTAAAGTTAGAGAACGGAAACCAACTTTGGGATGTATGGACGGACAAGGGTAAAACTTAATGCCCCCTCCGCTATGGCAGGGGCATAAAAATTAAAATTCTGATTTATAAGGGGAGATAATTCGGATAATTCAGTAGTAAAATGCACTGTCAATTGTTTTATTTTGTTATGCAGCAACAAAACATTTATGATGACACCATTTTATCTTCTATTTTCTAAAAGCATTTGATAAGTCCTGTCTTTGGATATTTCATTTTAGCATTATATTATTAATGGTGCATTTACAATGCATAATCCTTGCATTTAACAACCTGAAGATTGAAAGTCAGGGCTATTCCATTAAAATGAACATTATAGGGTAGGAAGGGAAATTTAAGACATGGGTAGTGGGTCATGTGTGTTTGTATGACCTTTTGACCATGTATGCAAAATTATTCAAAGAAAGCTAGTTGGTTTGGGTTAAAGTTTAGAAATCCCTTCCTACCCTCCACCGTCCATTCTAATGGAATAGTCCTATACATCTTATTGTATTTATAAAAACAAGATTTTTGTCAAGGTATGGAAAGCATTCGATCAGTTTTTGTGTATACTTTCATCTTGGTTTTTAATTTTCTATGTTGTGATTTGCATACTGTTGTTTGTCTTCTGATCGTTTCTTTGTTTTTTGCCATGGCATTGTATGTTTTCTATCTACTTATGAGTTTGAATGTGTCCCTTTGGTATCTTTAGTCTCTCTTTTACCTAAAATAGACACACATCTATTTGTTGTTACTCTTCAATTTCCTGTATATATATATATATTTATACCTGTTCAGCCATTTCTGTCATGACCATTCTGGACCTCTCATCAAATTCTGATTTACACTGAGACGTTTGTTTCTTTATGACATTAGAGACATCAGTCTGTGGCATAGGTTTCCACTGGTAAAGCCTGTCAATCTGTAAGAGGAAACATGTTAGGGTTCATAAAGAAATTAAAGAACCTTAGTGAGTGCGCTCACATACCCCACGTCCCCACATTGTCATTGGAGAAATAAAATATGTGTAAGAAAAAAAAATTGTATAAGAAAAAAAAAATGAATCATAATTTCCTGTCAATATGCACATCTACATAGTATGTCCTTATTATCTACAAAGTTTCATGAAATTATGTTGTGTGGTTTCAGAGGAGTTGCGATGACAAACTGTTGCAGAAGTACATTAAAGCAAATAAGTTCAAAGGGGCGTAACTCCTAGAAAAATAAAATGCTCCGCAGGGCGCAGCTTGATACGACCGCAGAGGTCGAACCCTGAACAGTTGGGGGAAGTATGGACACAACATTCAAGCTTGATACAGCTTTGGATTTGGATTGTGATTAAATATTTGACACAGCATAGGTTTCTAACACAGATTGAATGTGGTCTAAGAACTTAAAAATTTTAAATTGGACATTCACCTATTAAATTTTTTTGCGGTCGTATAAAAATTGAATCATAATTTCCTGTCAATATGCACATCTACATAGTATGTCCTTATTATCTACAAAGTTTCATGAAATTCTGTTTGTGTGGTTTCAGAGGAGTTGCGATGACAAACTGTTGCAGTAGTACATTGAAGCAAATAAGTTCAAAGGGGCGGAACTCCTAGAAAAAAAATTGAACTATAATTTCCTGTTGATATGCACATCTACATAGTATGTCCTTATTATCTAAAAAGGTTTCATGAAATTCTGTTGTGTGGTATCAGAGGAGTTGCGATGACAAACTGTTGCAATAGTACATTGAAGCAAATAAATTCAAAGGGGCGTAACTCCTAGAAAAAAAATTGAACCGTAATTTCCTGTCAATATGCACATCTACATAGTATGTCCTTATTATCTAAAAAGGTTTCATGAAATTCTGTTGTGTGGTATCAGAGGAGTTGCGATGACAAACTGTTGCAGTAGTACATTAAAGTAAATAAGTTCAAAGGGGCGTAACTCCTAGAAAAAAAATTGAATCGCAATTTCCTGTCGATATGCACAACTACATAGTATGTCCTTATTATCTAAAAAGGTTTCATGAAATTCTATTGTGTGGTTTGAGAGGAGTTACGATGACAAGAAACAGGACTGACGGACTGACGGACGGACGGACGGACGGACAGACGGGTCAAAAACCTTATACCCTCCGCAACCCGTTGCGTGGGGTATAATTAAGGTATGGTGCATTTGGGGTTGGGTTAGAATGCAGTTTTTATTTTATCTTACCAGGAATAAATTTTCAAATGATTGTTTCGTTTATTTCTTACAGTCAATTTCCTGGAAAAAAACAACTCTTTCTCAATTCTTTTTATATAGGTGCCATACACCTTATCGCTATTTATTATTGTCTGCCATGACTGGACATCACAATGGTTCTCGTAAGATTTTCGGACTCCAAGGAAAATTCAAAACAGAAAGTCCCCCATCAAATGGCAAAATCAAAAGCTCAAACATCAAACGAATGGAAAACAACTGAAGCCACAAAGGAAAAGTGATTGTTGTATGAAGTCATTAGTACAAATAGTACCGATAAGGTGTATTAGACCCACTTAAAAATTTAAAAGATTTCATATGCGATCCTCCCTGAAAATAGTTTGTGTTATTAAACCATTAAATTCATTTTCACAACAAATTTTTATCATCTGCGCCATCAAACTAAGCTATCATCTCATAGTTAACATTGGTAGATTTATGATTAGTTTGCAGAATTTTGAAAAATTATAGGCATCAATGTCATCAGTGATAAGACACAGTTAGTCAAAATATGGGCTAAAACCCTATCTGTGTCTATGAAAAATTCTTCCTTTTGGATCTCTAGATCTGACAATGCTCAACTATTGTTTTTAATGTGTATACTTTATTCATTTTTTTTTTCTTTTTAACTGTAAATACACTAAACCATACAATAACCCACTATGATATAATTTTCAAATTCAATCTGGACTAAATTGCAATAAAATGCTCCGCAGGGCGCAGCTTGATACGACCGCAGAGGTCGAACCCTGAACAGTTGGGGCAAGTATGGACAACATTCAAGCTTGATACAGCTCTGAATTTGGATTGTGATTAAATATTTGACACAGCATAGGTTTCTGACACAGAATGAATGTGGTCTAAGAACTTAAAAATTTCAAATTGGACATTCACCTATTATGGTCCAATATCCAAAATCTAAATACATGGTTAGATTCAGCATATCAAAGAACCCCAAGAATTCAATTTTTGATGAAATCAAACAAAGTTTAATTTTAGACCCTTTTGATCTCAATGTGGGCAAAGTTGATAACGGGGCCCAAAACTCAAAAATCTAAATACATGGTTAGATTCAGCATATCAAAGAACCCCATATATTCAATTTTTGGTGAAATCAAACAAAGTTTAATTTTGGACCCCGATTTGGACCAACTTGAAAACTGGGCCCATAATCAAAAATCTAAATACATGTTCAGATTCAGCATATCAAAGAACCCTAAAAATTCAATTTTTGTTAAAATCAAACTAAGTTTAATTTTGGACCCTTTGGACCTTTATGTAGACCAATTTGAAAACGGAACCAAAAATTAAGAATCTAAACACACGGTTAGATTCGGCATATCAAAGAACCCCAATAATTCAATTTTTGATGAAATCAAACAAAAAAGTTAAATTTTGGACCCTTTGGACCTCAATGTGGATCAATTTAAAAACAGGGCCCAAAATCCAAAAACTTAATACAAGGTTAGATTCAGCATATTAAAGAACCCCATATATTCAATTTTTGTTGAAATCAAACAAAGTTTAATTTTGGACCCCGATTTGGACCAACTTGAAAACTGGGCCCATAATCAAAAATCTAAATACATGGTTAGATTCAGCATATCAAAGAACCCCATATATTCAATTTTTGTTGAAATCAAACAAAGTTTAATTTTGGACCCCGATTTGGACCAACTTGAAAACTGGGCCCATAATCAAAAATTTAAATACATGGTTAGATTCAGCATATCAAAGAACCCCATATATTCAATTTTTGTTGAAATCAAACTAAGTTTAATTTTGGACCCTTTGGACCTTTATGTAGACCAATTTGAAAACGGAACCAAAAATTAAGAATCTAAACACACGGTTAGATTCGGCATATCAAAGAACCCCAATAATTCAATTTTTGATGAAATCAAACAAAAAAGTTAAATTTTGGACCCTTTGGACCTCAATGTGGATCAATTTAAAAACAGGGCCCAAAATCCAAAAACTTAATACAAGGTTAGATTCAGCATATTAAAGAACCCCATATATTCAATTTTTGTTGAAATCAAACAAAGTTTAATTTTGGACCCCGATTTGGACCAACTTGAAAACTGGGCCCATAATCAAAAATCTAAATACATGGTTAGATTCAGCATATCAAAGAACCCCATATATTCAATTTTTGTTGAAATCAAACAAAGTTTAATTTTGGACCCCGATTTGGACCAACTTGAAAACTGGGCCCATAATCAAAAATTTAAATACATGGTTAGATTCAGCATATCAAAGAACCCCATATATTCAATTTTTGTTGAAATCAAACTAAGTTTAATTTTGGACCCTTTGGACCTTTATGTAGACCAATTTGAAAACGGAACCAAAAATTAAGAATCTAAATACACGGTTAGATTCGGCATATCAAAGAACCCCAATAATTCAATTTTTGATGAAATCAAACAAAGTTAATTTTTAGACCCTTTGGACCTCAATGTGGACCAATTTAAAAACGGGGCCCAAAATCCAAAAACTAAATACACGGTTAGATTCAGAATATTAAAGAACCCCATGAAATCAAGAATAAAACCCCATTGAAATTGGTCAAGAAATAAGCAATTTATAGGAAGTATCTTCTTTTGCACAATACTGTGCAATTGAATATTTCTTGCTATTGGGCAATACTGTACAATTGACAATTTCTTGCTATTGCGCAATATTGTGCTATTGGATATTTCTTGCTATTGCGCAATACTGTGCAATTGAAGATTTCTTGCTATTGCGCAATACTGTGCAATTGAAGATTTCTTGCTATTGTGCAATACTGTGCAATTGAAAATTTCTTGCTATTGCACAATACTTATTATATAATAATTTACACATCCTGTTTGGTGTGTATCTCCTACCATATCATTATTTGCTTTTAAATATAAATCAGAAATAACCAACTTAAAATGGAAAATTTTAAAAGAAAAAAAAAAGAAAAAAAGAAAAAAAAAGACAACCCCCCCCCCCCCCCCAATTTTTTGAACCCCCTTATGATTCATCACCCCCAAACTCAATCCCAGCCTTCCCTTTGTAGTATGGTACCTTGCAGTACAATTTCAGAGAGATCCATACACTTGAACACAAGTTAGTGTCTGGAAACTAGAAAAATGCTTATTTTTGGCCCCTTTTTGGCCCCCAATTCCTAAACGTTTCGGGCAATTACCCCCAAACTCAATTCCAGCTTTCCCTTTGTGATATGGAACCTTGTAGTACAATTTCAGAAATATCCAAACACTTACACACAAGTTATTGTCATGAAACTAGAAAAATGCTTGTTTTTTGCCCCTTTTTTGGCCCCTAATTCCTAAAATTTTGAGGCAATTACCCCCAAAATCAATTACAGCCTTCCCTCTGTGATATGGAACCTTGTGGTACAATGTCAGAGAGATCCATACACTTACACACAAGTTATTGTCTGGAAGTTACAAAAATGCTTATTTTTGGCCCCTTTTTGGCCCCTAATTCCTTAACTGTTGGTACCATAACCCCCAAAATCAATCCCAACCTTCCTTTCCTGGTATTGAACCTTATGGTAAAATTTCATGGAGATCCATTCACTTAAACTAAAGTTAGAGTGCGAAAACCAATGTGTCTTCGGACGACGCCGGACGACGACGACGACGCCAACGTCATACCAATATACGACCAAAAAATTTTTAATTTTTGCGGTCGTATAAAAATGTCAATTAAAGTTAAACAATTTTTAAATTTGAAGAGTCAATTAAATTCTTTTACAAACATCAATTAAATGTAAACAATGTTTAAATTTCAAATGTTATTAAATCATGAACTAATCCAACACATTTAATTGACTCTTCGTCACTATCCTGATAAACAATCACAAGTTAGAATAATGTAAATTCAGAAATTATTATGATGGCTTAATTAATGCAAATAATGCAACAGTATCAGATTGGCAATAATAAAAAATCACATTCATAATTTTAGTACATGTAGTGATTTTCCTTCATAAATTTTATTCACTATCACATCAATTAGATTTTTCATATTTGCCAGTGGTCAAGGATTCACAATAATAAATACACACATTATTTCTGAATTTACAGTAGTCAACATATAGGAGATTTATCAATACTTTACCTTGTTCAGAGCTATAACAAAAGGAGTTTTTCTTTGTTTAAGTAGATTTATAGACTCGATTGTCTGAGGTTCTAATCCATGCATAATATCTACCACTAAAATAGCCATATCACATAAGGAGGATCCTCTAGATCGTAAGTTACTGAAAAATACAACAAAATCTCAATTAGCAAATCTAGTATTTAATGACAGGATAAAATATGGGCAATTATAAATGGAGGCGGGAGGATAGAAATTGAATTTTGGTTACTGTGGATTCATTTAGTTTCGTGGGTACCAATTTTCGTGGATTGATGAAAACTTGTATTTTCATGGATATTTCATTTCGTTGTTATGCCAAAGTCTGCATACAACCTTAAAGGAAATTTGTAATTCGTTGAAAATTATAATTCATGGTTCAACTGTACCCACAAAATCCACGAAAAATGATGAATCCACTGTAATGGAAGTAGGTTGTGGATTGTTTTTGTTGTATGTCATTTGATGTATGCAAAATGTCAAAGAAAGTATGTTGGTTGTTTGAGGATTTTTTATCTCCCTTCCTACCCTTTCAAATCCAGTCATATGGAATATCCTTATGACATATAATATAAAATCATCAAAGTACAAATTTTTATGGCAGTTTCTTATGCAACAGACCTCTGAATACAGGGCCTAATCTAGTATTTTGAAGAGGGAGAAGTGACTTCTCCTTCCATGAGAGAGAAGGGAGGAGTGAGATTCCATTACCGTTTCGGTTGCATCGTGTTTTCAAGCTTATCACTAAGGAAATTGTTATATATTAAATAAAAGATATGTTATTGTACACAATGTATATATAGAAAGTTCTTAATAAAAAGGTTTAGACAATATATAGTTGTTATTTATTTATTGAAACCATAATGTGTTCTAAATAAACTTTGTTGATCGGGACATGATGGAGTAGCCTAGTAATATTATCAAGATTATGATGCATTAAATTCATGTGCATCTGCCTCAATTTATTTTTAAAACTCCAGAAAAATATGATGAATTTCACATGACTGGGAATTTAATTTATATCACCACTTGTCATTGTTTTGTAAAACATTATTGAATGTCCAGGACATTTATGTTAGTTGTAGTAATTTGAGATTATCGTTGAAGATTGTAATCTATAAATGAAAATATCTTTCAATCTCAAGTTAATTATCCGATAAATAGCTAATTTCTATCATTTTTTAAAAATATCATCCATATCAATGAAGTGGTCATGAGAAAAAATCCACTGCTGATCACAATCTGGTCGAGTGTAGTACGTTTGCAATCACATTATCCATCAGCTGTCTTTCTACCTTTTATATTTCAATTTTTATTCAATGAAATTATTAATCCACCGTAAACTCCCACCCCGGCTGCCACCCTTTACCTACCGAATAGTAAAATTGATCATAAATAGGTCATAAAAATAAAACAAATCAGCTGAGTGATTACGCAACATCCTCAGATGAAAATCGTCGTAAAACGATAACTTAAACAGACGGTCAGTTTTCCGTTTGAACAGTTTTAAAAGTTATATCCGAGGATGTTCAAAGTCACCGTTGTATTTATTTAATTTGATCGTTTACAGTATAAGTCCTGGGTCGTTTCGAAAATCTCGAATTTCCTTGTCAGACGCCATTTTTTTTACCTGTGAGACTTGTCAATCACAAGTTGTCTCCCTTTTACCGATTTTGATAGCGATTTGACTTCCCTATGAAGTCAGTCGGCCGGCGAGATTTAGCGATTTTCAAAATTCTTTGGCGACTTAAATCCTCATTTCGCCGGCAAGATTATGGCCTGCTGAATATTCCATAACTGTTTGTTATTCATTATCTTCTATTAATAAGAGATAAATGACATAATTGCAAGATGGAATTTGTTAAAAATGTGATCCCTTAATAGATAACAAAATCAGTCCACTAATTTACATATAAGTGAAATTCCAACTATAAAAAGACTCAATTAGGATCTACAACAAATTTTGTAAAATGTGAAAAAAAAAATTGAATTGAATCTGTGCATAGGGTAAATATAATAGTGTAAATTGCCTTGATATTTATAACCTGAAGGATGTAAATGAGAAATGAGGCAAACACAGATAAGATAGGGCCATTTCATTTATTCAGATCCTGGATTGAGGGGGAACATACATTTGAAATTTTAATATGAAGGGTAGGAGTACACTTTTTGATGGTCCGAGTGATATTTAGGAAATTTAAATGATAAAAAATTCTTTCTGTTGTTGGGAAAGGAGTGTTCTGAAAATTCATTAGTTCCAAATTCAGGTAAATTTAAATGGCAACGCTCTGTCTGATATATGTGTGGTCAAATTAATTGAAAAACTCACATAAGGATATGTAGTTTATTATTTATCAATGCCTGGCAGATGAACAACAGAAACTGACACAGGCATGCAATGTTGGCTAAGAAGTCTGTGAAAGATCATCTAAAACTTAAGAAATCTGAACATCTCTGTTTTAAATAAATAGACAATGTGTCCATGGGACACAGATGATGCCCCTTTCTTGCATATAACGTTATAAAGGGGCATAACTCAAGAACGGTAAAATCCAAACTTGAACTGAGCTTTGTGGTAATAAGCATTGTGTATAAGTTTCATAACATTTGGTTGAGGCAAACTAAAGTTAAAGAGAACGGAAATTAATTTTGTGACATACAGACATACAGATGGAGGGACAAGGGTTACACTTAATGCACCCACTGCTGCGGCGGAGATATAAAAATAGATTTTACTAATTATTTGATGCCTTTTTCATCTGGAGGGATCCAATTTAATTATGTCTTCCAAGGCTTTTTGTTTGATGATAGCATCACTTAAAGTTCTTGAATATCTAGTAAATCCAACCTAGTTTATAGTTGTATTCATTATAGTTAAGCAAACTAAATATATCTAAATGGAAGCCAGATTTAAATTTAGCTTACTTACCTGAAAGACTCGTGGCCAGGTGTATCAATAATCAACATTCCAGGTAATTTCAATTCAGCTTTCTGAAACTAAAAGAAGTAAGGGACTTAAATAATGTATTAGCATTAGTTAGTCTAAACAATAAATATCAGTTAAAGCAGAAAAATTTGTAGAAGACTTAAAGCTGCAAAATTTACATCCTACTAAATGCTTTACAAATTACGTGCAATTTTTTGGTATTTATTGTTTTGAAAGCTACATATAAGTCTTATGTGGAGCAAACACTGATCTGGCAGACAATAATATCAGCCTGCTATCCCTGATGAATTTTAGTCAAAAGCAGCTGTTAACAATGAATTTACAATTATAACTAATTGTATCATGACACAGTGGTTTATGCCTTCTGATATTGATGATGATGATGATGATAGACAGCTGCTTAATGTCCAGAGGCAAATTAAATGCATATTCGGGACGAGAACATGTCAACGTAATATGTATATTAACCCTGCTTTGTACTAGACCAACAGGCTGAGCCAGATTTTTAACTTGCTAGTTTACAAGGTAACAGTCCGCAGGACGACATGTCACACTTTACAGACACATTACTCTGACTCCTAGTAGACCAGTCTCTGCTCTTACTCCTTAATGGTGTGTGCTTAGTGGAGAAGCAGCAAATACAAATTTTAAAGTCTTTGATTTGAACTGGCCAGGGTTCAAACCACAACCTCACACACTTATGGCAAACATGCTACTACGAGACCACCAAGGCAATTCCTTCTAATATTGTGCTAGCCATAAATGTTTTCATATTTGCCAAACATTCAGCGGTCTGTTCCAAACATGTCTAGTGTATATGTGATCGTTGTAATCGCGTAGTAATCTGATCGAAACTATTTGTAAAATTTGATCTTCACCTCTTTACACATTTTTGTGCTTTCTTTAATGGCACTAAAAGGAACATTTGTAGCACCAATCTGTTGGGTTATTCCCCCTGCTTCACCATCTTGTACATTTGTTCTTCGTAACTGAAAATTAAAAGGTTATATAAACAATGAAATTCTTTAATCTGTTTATTTAATATGGATTTCAATTGATTTCCTAGAAATTTATTGGGAATTGTGTACTGTAAATTCAGAAATTAATGTGTGCATTTACTAGTTATTACAGGATTCTGGTAAAAATGTGAGATCTAATTAATGCAATTGCAAAACTTATGTGAAGGAAAATCTACTGAAATTATGAATGCAAGTTATTGCTATGGAAAACTGAATACTGTCACATTTTTCGCATTAATAAAAACATCCCAATAGTTTGTGAATTTACTGTAGTTTGCATTCTGCACAATATATTCATTGTTTGATGTAGTTGATGTTAAAATCATTCTTATGAACTACTTTCTTTAAATTTTGATTTCTTGAAAATATAATAAAGGCTGAAAAAATTTGTATTTAATCTTACTGATGAATGATAAGTGTTGGATTTTTTTTTTATTTGACAGTGTCTACATGATCAAATACTCAGACACAAGTCTATCTGTACACAGTTCATATGTACTTCAACAGCAAACTTTACCTTGTCCAAGATTTTAGTTTTGCCTGTATCTACGTGGCCCAATACACAGATGACAGGTGCCCTCAGATTGTCTATTGATTTATTTTTCTCTGCTTCTTCTTTTCTTTTCTGAAAGATACATTGATTATTAAATACTTAAAATATTTAATGCAAAAGCAATTTAGTACATCATGATCTTCTTACTGCAGATTTCACAACAAACAAGAATGTGTCCATAATACACTCGCACTATCATTTTCTATGTTCAGTGGACCATGAAATTGGGGTCAAAACTCTAATTTGGCATTATAATTCGAAAGATAATATCATAGGGAACATGTGTACTTAGTTTCAAGTTGATTGGACTTCAACTTCAGCAAAAACTACCTTGACCAAAAACTTTAACCTGAAGCGGAACAGACGGACGAAAGACGGACAGAGGAACCGACAGACGAACGAAGACGCACAGACCGAAAAACATAATGCCCCTAGATGGGGCATAAAAATGGTGCTACCATTGGTTTATAATAATACTACATACTCCAGAATTGTGCTTGTGTCTTCCTTGATAATGCATTTTTTCATCAATGCATAGCACCTTTTGTTATAACAGACATAACATGAATATCATCAGCTATTGCAATATTATTTTAAAACACCAAACACTTTCCTATAAGCCCCATGTAGATTTTATTGTGTATTTGAATATAGCTGCAAATCCCATAGGAATTTAATCAAAATAAATATACAGTCGATTCCAGTTATTTTGCATAGCCTATTTGTCAGACAAAATTATGCAATTAAGCGGAGTATGCTTATATCCGAAATGCCAAATTACGGAGTGAAATAACATTGATAGTAAAGATCAGTAAAGGAAATCCCTGAAGAAAGATGAACGGCCATAATCCACTTACAACATGTTGAATGTTGATTTATTCTAATAAAAGTTATAAGTCTAGTGTTATTCATGTTATTGTGTTTTGTATTCTTTTAAGGGCATACGATACAGTTTTGATCCCATAATGAAATTTTGATGAAAATTTGCATATAGGCTATTTTTTACCTGATTAAATCAAATATGTAATAAAAAATATACCATCATGTGCTACTTTTTGAGTAAATTGAGGTTGAAATTTCAGATATTTCCTAAAAAAATTCGGATTTGTGGATGTATTCTTCCTTTCAACAGAAATACATAACTTTTTTGTTTTAAAAGATAAACACAAGCTGTTTTTTGTTAAATTATTTGTAATTTCTGTTGTATATAATGTTCTATAAATTTGTACATTTTATTTTTACAAATAACTCATATTTATCAAATGTTCATGAATGTAGAAAAAAACATCATTTTTTGCTGTATTTTATCAAATTAAAAAAAATTGCACTATTGACTTTTTCATGAAAATTGGTACACATAATCTTCCTACGTAATCAAACCAAATGTCATTTTAAAAAAGAGGGGTCCATGAACTCGTTTTCAAGTTAAATCAGTTTGAATGATAAAAATCAGTCGAAAACTGCATCTTTTCATGATAAGTCACAGTTTGATGTCGCGAAAATAACAATTTACGTTAGCAACGTCATTACTTCCCCTGTAACTGTATCGTATGCCCTTAATAAAGTTTATAAACACATTTTGTTTTTGTTTTAGTTTATTTGCGTACCGACGTTTCCTTTACCTGGGATACAAAATTAGAACAAATTGTTCTAAAAATAGATTTGTTTCTATGACCCGTAGGTACAATGTACATCATTACGCTTTGATTAAAATAAACTGTTCAACTATACTACACAGTTTAATATCATTTTTAACAATAAATGTGTAATGAACTGCCTTTGATATGCAGTATCTACCGCTTGCACAGTGATGTAACACTGTTTCTTTAACCTCGTTAGTTTCGTATATGCAAAGCAGTAAACAGGTAAAGGGGCCCTGTACGGGTTATTTGCTGGACACAAGTGTTGAACGTGTGAAAATATAATAATTAGAAGTGAATGCTCTTTTCCAAAAATAATAAAAATAAATGATTGACGAATAAAATTCTTCAACCATATATAAATACCCTGAAATGTTTAACATAAATGCAAATCACCCCAAGCAGAATTGCGAGAGTACACATTGGATGGTCTTTCAAAGTAAATTAGCAGGCGTTATTGTTTTTAAAATTCACCCCAAATGTAATCTATGGACAATGCTTAAAATCCAATCAATAATTAACACCTTTTGGGATAGAATGGTCATGTTTTTACAATTACCTGTTTTGACATTTTATGACCTGGAGGCTTAAATTAGAAAATGGGAAACTTCACCTGTGTACACATTGAGGGTTATTTTAAAGTAAAACTCCATCATATAAACACGAAAGAAACTGTTTTTAAACTTTATTTTAATAACACAAAAGCGAATATGAAATAATAACGAAAATAATGATGCATTCAAGAAAAATATACTTACCAAATTGCCATTTCTGGTCAAAAATCTTGTCAGTTTGAACTAAGCATATCTAGCCGGCAATTATTTTCTATGCAATTAACCGAGAGGCCACTTGTAAGGCTATGCATATAACCGAATAATTTAACATTAGATGAATGGGAAATGGTTTTGTGCAGGAGAAAATTATGCAATTAACCAAATTATGCTATTAAGCGGTATGCGACTGTAGTTCCAAAGGCGTTATGTTTAGAACAATATCATGTACTGCAGTAATTCTTGAAAACCATAATAGAGAAAATATTATTAGAAAAAATACTCAGAATGTTAAGATCCACCTAATTTGCATTTCTACCAAAATTATTAGAGTTATCGCCATTGAATAACGGATCCCGACCAATTTTTATGTTTTTGCTTGATATCTCAAAACAATAATAGAAAGACAGCAACTGTAATCATCAACAATAAGCTAAGGATTACAAATATAACTACCATAATTCTATCTCTAGCTTTCTCCACAGGGGTAAGTTCATCATCTTCTTCAGATTCCTCTTCACTCTCAGATTCACTTTCTTCTGATTCGTCTTCTTCTCCACTTTCCTCCTCCTCTTCTTCCGATTCCTCTTCATCTTCTTCTTCTGATTCTTCATCTGCCTTCACTGACACTGTCACTGGGGCTGGTTTGGGTTTCTCTGAGAGAAAAAAAGGATTAGATTTTCAATATCCAGCTATTTTATTCATTAAACCAATCTCAAGTTGTTTTTTATGAATGAGCTACAAGGTCAATAGAAATAAATGACATCATTTTGTATGCTTTATCTTTCAATGGGTTCTTACTGCGATATAATGACATAAGCATTGTGACATAGGAAATGTACAGGAAAAGGCAAAAATTTGAAATTCATCTACTGTGAATTCACTATTTTTTGTGGGATACCAATTTTCGTGGATTTCGTGGATACAGGGGAACCACGAATTCAAATGTTCAACGAATTTCAAATTTTCTATAAGCTTGTATGAAGATTTTAGCAAAACAAAGAAATCAAATATCCACGAAAATGCAAGTTTTCCTCAATCCACGAAAATTGATACCCACAAAAATAAATGAATCCACAGTATTCATAGTAAAATTATAAATTGATAGGTCTTTAATAAATAAAAGAAAAGAGTTCCAATGTCCCCCGCATTGCACATATTTCATCTTTCCAAGGCACAAGGGCAATAATTAAAAAAACACTTCTTTTTTTTTTGTTCTTTAAAACAATTTATAAATATCTTAAGAGAAATGAAGGCTTCAGAGCAAATGCAATTTCCATTATAATTATTTTTTTCTAAAGGGCATAAAAATATTTGATCAGCACTTATTTTCAAAAGTGCCAAAGACTTTGCTGATATAAACCTACATGTATGATATGTTTCATAAAATTCTGGCAAGAATAGACTATTTTCATATTACCGACTTTTGACTCCGGATTATATAATTTTTCAACAGGTTACCTTTTCTATGGTAGGACATCCTGGTACTCGATCAAGTAAGAGCAACCAAAATAAGTAAAATCAAACATATAATCGGTGTAATTTGAGGGGAGAGGTTCCTGTTTTCCGATGATTTTGTCGTGCTAAGTAAATATGAAGCAGTTAATTTTCCTCAAAAATTGTACCGATTGAAAGCTTGATTTTACTTCTTTATGTTACTCTTACTTGACTTGATACCAAGATGTCCTACCACAGAGTAGGTAACCTGTCGAAAAAATATAAACTTGGGAGTCAAAAGTCCGTAATATGAAAAAAGTCTATTGTACACATGAGAGCGCTAACAATGCAATTTTCCATACAATCAATATTTCCAAGGGACATAACTCTTTTAAAAATAACTGGATCAGCACTGATTTTTGAACTCGTTGAAGACATTGCTGATATAAACCTATGATATAAGTTTCATAAAAATCTGGCAAGAATTGTACACATGAGAGCGCTAACAATGCAATCTTCCATATAATTAATGTTTCCAAGAGGCATAACTCTTTTAAAAATAATTGATCGGCCTTGTTTTTCCAACTCATCCAAACATTGCTGATATAAACCTATGATAAAAGTTTCATAAAAATCTGGCAAGAACTGTACACGTGAGAGCGCTAATAAGACCGGGCGCCCGGTGTTTCTATGTCCCTCGCAATGCGTTGCGCGGGGGTCAATTAACCATTTTAAGGTTTAACTGCAGAAAGAAGAAAGAGATGTAAAAACATTTATAGATATGAAAATATTTAGAGGTAAAAAGATTGATCAATGTATTATGTATGATCCTGTTGTGAATTCATTTTGTCGAATAAATGGAGGTAAAGTAACCAAAGAGTACTGAGTGACATGGCTTGTATGTTTGAATGCATATAGGGAGAAAAAGAACTGCTGACCAGCAAACTTGACAAAAGACATAAAGAGGAAAATATAACTGATCAATTTGTTTTATTCTTCAATTATCTCGACACCAGACTTAGTTTTGTATCAGTAAACTCAATATTAAGTGTTAATAATTATAAAGAGAACAACAATGTAAAAGAAACACCAACTTTTGCCTTGGCAGGCTTGACAAAAGTTCTGTTGCGTGGTTGCTGGTAACTTGCGGTGAAATACAGTGATATTTGATGACTGCAGTTAAACACCCTAGACTTACAACTCAGTCATTTATTACTGATATACAGATACAGATATATTTTCAAGAGTGAATAATAAACAATCACCAGCATAAATCATCCCCAAAAGTAATTTTTAACTGAATCATCATGTGTACTGTACCTGTTTCAGTCTCTTTGGTTGGTTTTTCCTCTTCCTCTTCACTGTCAGCAGCCCAATCATCTTTTATATCATTTCCTTCCTCTTCGTTTTCTTTTTCCTGAGTACTGGTATCTGCTACTGGTTTCTCCTCCTCTAAAGATGGCGTAGTTGCTTCATCCTTTGATTCTACTGTTGTCTCTTCTGTGGGAGATGGTGTTCTTTCTTCTTGTGTTTCTATGACAACAATAAACAAAGGTGAAGGGAAACTATTTTGGGTCATATTTTTATTTTACAATATTAGAATCTTATGCATATCTACCATTTAAACAATTTTCAGAATAACCTTTCCCATCTATAGATAAAAAAAACATTTTTTTAAAACGATATCGATGTCATGAGTTATACAGACATGAAATGACAGTAAATTTGGATAAAAGCTAATTTACACAAAATCATATCTATAACACTACACATACAAGAAATAGAATAAAGCTCAGCCCCAGCTTTAAAATATATTTACACACATAGGTTTAAAAAAGACGGTTAAACAGAAAAGGATATTTTTTTCAAAGGTAACATAAGACATTCATGGTCCAATGAATTTTCAAAAGCTCACTGCAAATTAATCTCCTTTAATATTCAATTCATAATGTCTGGTCTGCTCTAAAAAGAACAAAAAAATTATCAACTTAAACTAAAACTGCCTAGATTTAGACTATCGCTTGAATGAAGTAAGAGAGATAACTCTAAAAAATTTCGATATATCTACCTGCTGCTTTTTGTTGTTGTTGTTTTTTCTTCTTTTTGTTGTCATAAACAGGTCTTTTCTTAGGCCCATCATCTTTAGATGGAATTTCAAATCCTATAATAAATAAGCATTCTGTGAGTATTGCATGGCAATACATAGTCCCCTACCGGTTAAAAATTTATTGTATTGGAACAAATCCTTACTTGATCTATAACTTGTCATGGTGTAAACTATATAACAAATATCAAGTCGATATCTTCAAGCATGACTAAAAAAAGTGTGGAAATTAATTAGTTAAGTGAATTTTCTAAGTCCAAGAACCATAACTCTGCACAAAATCATCAGATTGGAACAAAATTCAAACTTGATCTGTAACTTGTCATGATAAAACTATATACCAATTTTCAAATCAATATCTTCAAGCATTACGAAAAAAAGTGCAGAAAACTGATTATTTGAGTGAATTTTCTAAGTCAAAGGAACATAACTCTCCACAAAATCATCAGACTGGAACAAAATTAAAACTTGAACTGTAACTTGTCATGATAAAACTATATACCAATTATCAAATCAATATCTTCAAGAATGACAAAAATAAATGTGGATAGTGTCCACATGTGGACACAGATGATGCCCCTGCTTGCATATCATATAGTTATAAAGGGACATAACTGAAGAACAGTAAAAGTGACGCTACCCAAATTAGAACTTGATCTGAGTTTTGTGGTAATAAGCATTGTGTGTAAGTCTCATAACATTTGGTTGAGGCTAACTTAAGTAGAGAACAGAAACTAAAAATTCAGCAATTTTTCTATTTGTAAACACGCATAACTCTAGAACGGTTGTGTATAAGTACGTACTTACAGACGGACAAGGGTAAAACTTAATGCCCCCTCCGCTACAGCGGGGGCATAAAAAGTGCGGAAAACTGATTATTTCAGTGAATTTTCTAAGTCAAAGGACCATCACTCTGCACAAAATCATCAGACTGGAACAAAATTTGAACTTGATCTGTAACTTGTCATGATAAAACAATACACCAAATATCAAATCAATATATCTTCACGCATGAAGAAAAAAAGTGTGGCCACCATGATTAGACAAAACATGTGCCTGTCCCAAGTCAGGAGTCTGCCATTGAGTGGCTGTTGTTTGTTGCTTTTATCATATTTTTATTCGTTTAATGTCTTGTACAGTTTCTTCTTGTGTTGTTCTGTTTTACCACTGTCTCAGTTCGAGGAGGGTTGCATGCCCTGATGGGAAATGTTTTACATCGCCACATTCTGCATGTGCCTCTTCCAAGTTAGGAGCCTAAGTTTAGGTTATTGTCATTTGTTGCTGTATATCACATTTGTTTTTCTTTTTTTGTCTTGCACATAAATCAGGCTTTTGTACATAAATCAGGCTGTTAGTTTTCTTGTATGAATTGTTTCACATTTGTCATTTGGGTGCCTTTTACAGCTTGCTTTGCTCATTGTTGAAAGTCATAAGATGACATATAGTTGCCTACTTCTATGTCATTTGGTCTCTGGTGGAGAGTTGTCTCATTGGCAATCATACCACATCTTCTTAATTTCATATTCCTGAAAGTGGTGTTAAATACCAACAAACAAAAAATATAAAAGTATTCAGAATTTTCAAATGAATGTCACTAGCTGAAAAAAATTCAGTGAAGAATTCCATGAAGGTTGAATATTTTCACTCTGACATATGCAAAATACTCTTCACGCTTGATCTTGATTTTCTTACACACAATTCTGAAAGCATGCTAAAGGTATTCAGTTTGATTTGATCATTACTGGTTAATTCATTTATAACTTGAGACTAGGATATTCAGAGCTTGCTACAGGGTGCATATGCCTACTCAACGTTAAACATTGTAATGTGGCCATTGTAGTTTATTCTAAAATGTTGTGTTGCTTTCTAATTAATATTCACTCTCTATCACCTTTTTGATAGTTTTCAAATGATGCAATAATTTTGTATACAAACCTTGTGCCTTCATTGCTTCCAACATGTCTTGTGCTCTTCTTTTATCCTGTTTTTGTTTATCTGTTAATAATTTTCCTTCAGCTCTCAATCTTTCTTTTCTCTCTTTTTCTTTCAGTTTCTTCTTTTCTCTCTTCTCTTGTTCTTTCTTTTTCTATGTAAATTGAACAATAATGAAGAAAACCCATTCTTCTAAAAAGATTCTACAATATGCTAATACTGTAGATTCGCTATTATTTGTGGGATAACAAATTTCGTTGATTTCATGGGTAAAGGTTGAACCAAATTTTCAATGGAGAACAAAATTTTTGTAGGCTTGTATATAGATTTTGGCAAAATTACCAAATCAAATATCCATGAAATACAACTTTTCCTCAAGCCTAAAATATTGATACCCCCTAAAAAATAAATAAATAAACAGCAGTTGTAATTCTACAAAAGCTACATTTGGGGTCCATACATATGTGAAATGCAGATTTCTCTTTATCCTATCCGAGATTGAGTCAACCAATGATAGATGAGAGAACAAATATATTCAATTTTATATAAAAGAAATAAATGATAATTTTATCATGGGTCTCCAACAAACCAGATGTAATTAAATTTTTTTCTCAATTATTTTTTTATTTTGATGTACTATTCATCAAAGAATTATTCACTATTAAATTTTTTGTCATTACATCTGATATATGACTGACGACCATATGAATCTAGATCACTGCAGAGTGCAGACCATGTGGACGAATCACTGTTTATTAAATAATGACTTTTGTGTCGTCTAATTATGCAGAACATGCAATTTTTTGTTAATAAATGATAACACTTCTATCATGTAAATCTAATAACATACCTCTTCCTCAATTTGTGCTATTTTTTCTTCTTCTAGTCTGATTCTCTCTTCCTCTTCTTTTTGGAGTCTTTCTTGTTCCTCCTTCAGTGCTTGTAATTGTGCTTTAATTATAGCAACCTACCAAATAACAGAATATGTTAATAATAATTACTATATCTGATTTCATCTTGATGATGTCATGGAAAAAACTTGCATTATACAATTACTGTCTTTTGATGAGGTAAATATGTGGTTTTATTGACTTTTGAAAAACTGATATTCACTGAGGCCAGCGGCCGAAGTGAATATCAGTTTTTCAAAAGTCATTTAAACCACATATTTACCGAAACAAAAGACAGTAATTGTTTTATTCCATATTCCGAGAGAGTACCAAGAGAAATGTATATAATGACAATTATTTACCAAAACCAATTGTACAGCAAACGATTTTAACATAACGTAAAAGCACGCGACGTTTTGCGCGGTGAATATACTTTATCCGCAGGTGAATATGCTTATTTATTCAAAATCCAATTCATATAGAAAAACCTACTAAGGTTCTATCAATATGGAATAATTAATGTTATTGCACTATGTTTTCCCCGTTAAGTTTGAAAATACCTCATTATAAAACATACTTTTGAGATTTATTTTCAATCATAATTTAACAAGCATTCTGTGAGTATTGCCTGGCAATACATAGTCCCCTACCGGTTAAAAATTCATCGTACTGGAACAAAATGCTAACTTGATCTATAACTTGTCATGATGTAAACTATATAACAAATATCAAGTCAATATCTTCAAGCATGACAAAAACAAATGTGGAAAATTGATTATTTGAGTGAATTTTCTAAGTCCAAGGACCATAACTCTGAACAAAATCATAAGACCAGAACAAAATTCAAACTTGATCTGTAACTTGTCATGATAAAACAATACACCAAATATCAAATCAATATCTTTATATAAAGCATGAAGAAAAAAAGTGTGGAAAACTGATATGCTTGACTGACGGATGGACAGGCAGACAGACAGACAGACGACTGACGGAGTGCAAACATTAAGTCCCCTTTAACTTCGTCAGTAGGGGACTAAATAATTGAACAGGAAAGTTGTTATTTGTTTCAATTCAAACATTACAAAAACTTTTTTTCTCTCAATTTGAACAAGAGTCTTACTGGTGCTTTTTTCTTTTTCTTTTCCTTTTCATCTTCTCCTTTCTTTTTCTTCTTTTTTCCTGGTTTTGCTTCTTCCTCCTCCTCTGTTGCTTTTTCATCTTCACCTTTTTCTCCTGCAATTTATAAATGTATTCATTAACTTTCAGAAGCACATGGGTTTGTTGTTATACTGTGAAATTTTTTAAACTATTTTAGCATAACAATAAGTCACCTTAACAAAGTTAAGAGTTTAAAGTTTATTTTGAATGATAGCACGGACTGGTCATTAGCGGTAAAAGTTTACATTGAAAATATATTTTCATATTTTGACCATTTCAAGCTCAGCCTTAGTGCAGTAAAGTTTCCCCACCTTCCCACCCATGTGAAACTTTTTGTATTAATTTATCAATAATTGTAAACGCATTAAGTTTTTTGAACAGATCTTAAAAGAACATCATTTAAATACTGTTTTATAGATAGATATGAACGAATTTATTCTATTCCTTTATTTTTCTTTGTAGATATGTTTGTAAGACATGTATGATGCAGTGGCTTCAGAGTTTGTTTGCAAAATGATTTGAGGACAGTTGTTTTAGATTAAAATAAAGCTTTTATGCAATCGTCTAGGAGAGCTGTTTCCCATAGATATGTGTTTTTAGTTTTTGTTCATTAATACTTTATTTGCGTTTGAGGCCACAAATAAGAAAATAATTTTAAAAAGTTCTATTTCAGCTTTCAATATAATATACAATAAGGATTTCCATTAAAAAAGGGTATGCATGGTTAGTAAATATATTCATATCTTTTCCTTTTGCATGCTATTATTTGTATATGAGGGCTAATCCAAAAGTTAATGGACAACACAATCAATATGCATAAAGTTTCAAAGACTTTTGATGTTTTTTACTTGTGGCTTTTCGTATCAAATATAAATGCTTCAATTAGATTTATTTTTAACATAACCTCAGTGTTTTAGTCTCATAATTCGAAAATTCAGCGGAACATTATTCTGTCCATGGAACTCTAACTATGGCTACATAGACATGCTTCCAGCATTAAGAAAATATTAGACATTTATTGGCCTTGTGTATGCTTCAAAATAAAAAAAAAGTTTCAGGTGAGACAGCTGATTAGTTTGTTTATAATTAAAGAAATCACATACAAATGTATTTAAAATTCAAAATGGCGGTTTCCATTGGTTACAAAATATGTGATGCTGTCCTATCAAAATAATGATTACAAATTACATTTAAAAATTTATTGATATCGTCTTTATTAGGAGTTATTGATTACAGATGCCTAGCCCCTTATGCAGATATGACAAAGTAATATTTTGCTATAGGAAACCCATAAAAATAATTAAGTTCAAAACTTTTGCTTTGGAACCCATAAGTTTATTCTGTTAAAAAATCAAATTTTATTTTTGAAATGTAGGAAAATTTGTAACAAATAAGGTCCTTTACGCCTTTTGTCATTCAATTAGAGTCAAACCTGCATATAAATGTCTTCCTAGTAGGAAAAATAGAAAATTTACTTAACAAGAAAGGGGACCTTTGATTTGAGGTTCAAAATGCATAGATATTACTTCAGCGGGACAAGAAGAGGGTGACCTGATAAGACATGTTTCCACTTAATAGAGTTGACCTTAAAAGCAGGTTTGACTGTACTTATCTGACTAACCTTCTGGCTTAGCCTCATCTGCTGCAGTCTCCCCTCCAGTCTCTTGTTCCTTTTTACCTTTTGATTTTTTCTTATCCTTTAAAAGATATAACAATCATATTTTCAATTTTTTTCCTGCATTCCCCCTTCTTAACCTAATACAAGCAACTTTATAGAAATCAACGTTCTCCATTATGAACATGAGAGAATGAAAAGTTGTAAGAACGTTTCACATTTTGTTCTGCTAATTGAATTCATGGTAAAACAATTGTTTTTAAAACATTATCATTATTTAACAGAATATTTTACAATGTAAAGGAACTTTATGCAAATATTAAATCAAACCTGAACTTTATAAGAATCCATAGATTAATCATCTTTTTTTAATCTAAAAGAGTTAACTATTATTTTTGTTGAAAAGACTTAAACACTATTAAAATGAAACTTACTAATAATTTTTTCTGCTTTTCTCTATCTCTTTTTTCTTTTCTTTTTTGTGCTGCAGTTTTTACTGTTGACTCATCATCATCATCTCCTTCTTCCTTTGTTCCTTCTTCTCCTTCCTGTTCCTCATTCTTCTCTCCATCTTTTTCTTCAGTTTTTCCTTTCTTCTTTTTTCTCTTTTTCTTTTTATCGTCTTCATCATCGTCATATAAGTCATCTATTGTGACCACTTTGACAGCAGCCATCTTTGATTCAATTTCAGCCGCTAACTGCTCTTCTTCGTTTACTTCATTGCCTTCTTCATTTTCTTCACCTGTTAAATCTGAAGGCAAATGTGGAAACTTGAAGTCATTGAGGTAATTGAAACTGTACAACAAATTCCTGTTGTTTGGCATGCTAGTCATCTAACATATATCTTAACATGCCCTGTGGTTGCATTAGACTTATTGTTAGGCAATAGAGACAGTATTTGTTAGATGACTTTGCCCATTATTTTCTGTAAATTGTTGATATTATCCCACATCTGTGTTTTTCAATGTACAGGTGTAGTCCAATTGATATCTTGCAATATATTCTACTAAAAACCATGCTAGGGGCTATCTTTAACTTGCAGTGAGGGAAATTTTTTTAATCCGTATTGAAAGTCTCACTGTGACTTTAAGAGGGAGAACAGCAATAAAAGCACTGATATTACTTTTGCCACATGCTTATCAAAAATTATGTGTCATGAATACACCATATCTTTTCTTTTCCATTCCAGATACATTTTAATATGTCAAAATATTTAGGGATATCAAATTTGCTCATTTTCATTCTAGAAGCACTATAAAAAATTTTTAACCACAATGTTATAGAGGATAATTTATATATTATTATTATCATGTTTATAAGCTTTCAAGTGATAGCAATCTAATATTTGAAACATGTGCTTATTTTTCACAAATAATACCTAAAGTGATAGCAATTAAATATTTGAAACATGTGCTTATTTTTCACAAATATACCTAAAGTGACAGCAATTAAATATTTGAAACATGTGCTTATTTTTCACAAATAATACCTAAAGTGATAGCAATTAAATATTTGAAACATGTGCTTATTTTTCACAAACAATACCTAAAGTGATAGCAATTAAATATTTGAAACATGTGCTTATTTTTCACAAATAATACCTAAAGTGATAGCAATTAAATATTTGAAACATGTGCTAATTTTTCACAAATAATACCTAAATGTTGCAATTAAGTTGAAAATTAAAGAAGAATGTTTCTGAGGACACGCATTCCCCCGCTCAAGCATTGCAATTTTTCCAAGTTAAAAAGGGGCATAACTCTAGAATGGTAAATGACTCACAACCCCAATTTGAACTCTGTCTGTAAATTTTGGTTCTTAGCTTTGTGTATGAGTTTCATAAAATTTGAAATGAGACAAACTTAAAGAGTGCAAAAACGATTTTTTTTTCAATTTTCCAAGTTATAATGGGGCATTACTCTAGAACACTAAGTTACTCACTGCCCAAATTCGAACTCTGTTTTTGAGTTTTGGTTCTTGGCATTGTGTATGAGTTTCATTGTATTTCATTTCATGTATACTCTTCCCTTACCCTTATTTTTCTTTTTTTTCTTTTTCGACTCTTTAGGTTTGTCAATGTCTGCTAAAAGTGCATCAATATCTTCCTCAGCCTGGTCTTTCTTCTTCTTTTTATCTTTTTTCTTTTTGTCTTTTTCTTTTACAACAACTTCCTCTTTTTTTGTTTCTATCACAGGAGTTTCCTCTTCTTCATTCTGAAAGTAAGTTTATCATTTAGCACAAACAATTCAAGGATGAAGGTGTACTACATTTTTGCTATATATATATATATATATATATATATTGTTTTATTAAAGTGCAACCTGATATAACATAATAATACAAATATAAAACATATTTTATAATGTCAGCCAGCCTTCATAGGCTTATGATGCACTGTACTTCTAAAGTTCTCATAAACGGAGAGACATCAAGGATGAGAATGTAAACAACTGTTTAAATATGCATGTTCTTTGCTTTTTGCAAGTCAGCAGACAGTGTTTCATACAGGAGGTTTAGGCAACCTACACTTTTTAGTAGAAATATATGGTGCCATGCCACCTTTGGTCCTATTTAAGGCCATATTGCATTTTATGAACGTTACTGCAATTCAAATTATTTCCCTTTGAACCTGAATACAATTTTAACAGATGCCATCTTAATCAATTTCCAATTATCGAACTGTCATAAAGATTTTGTATGCGGTCAAGATTTTATACTGTTGATGATTGATTGGAATAAATACAACCTCAATAAAATAATCAAAGTGTTTGTGACCACTGATGGGTAAACATTTCTTTCTTCTGCATTGTGAAATGCACTATATTAAGCAATGGAACTAATCAAATCAAACAGATAGATTCATATGCCATGCAATACTTTACTGTATTATTTTTAATAAAACAGTTTTCTAGGTAAAGTATGATTATACATATACACATCATTTTGTAACTTAAATATCTGAGAAAAATCTCGGGTGAAAGTGATTTCTTCGCATACCTTTATAACCACGACTTTTCTCTTAAAATCCATGTATTGTAAATCAACTAGTTTTTCAGATATAAGCCATAAACTACAATTCACAGATATGTTCTAAGTTTAGTAACAGAGATCATGTTTGTTAATGTAATAAAGAAAAAGAATATCAAAATTTTGACATGTTGAAGATGATTATTATTCTTGTTTTTTTTTCTACTTGCTAAAGTCAAGTAAATATTTATATATATTCTCTAATTCTTACATGATTTATTCTTTTCCTAACCAGTTGATTATTTTTATTTAATCAAAGTGTGGTTCATTTGATCTTAGTTCTTCATTGGTCAAAATTCAATTATGACATCAAATTATATTGCTTTCCTCTGAATTGCCTATTGTGACGTCATGAAAAAAGGCAGCCATGCCTGATGACATCACATAGAAAGAACACCTATTTTTGCAAATCATTCGAAAAGAAGGATTAAGATTGGCTGTATATATTGCCTTAAAATCTTTAGAGAAACAGATTCCACTACAAAATTTATCCACTCTCCAGTTAAAGTTTAATATTTAAAATGCTTGGCATGCCTCACGTTTTAAATTTGAAAATTTATCTGTCTCCAATGGATACATATCGAATCACACTTGATGCAGTGGTAGAATCTATGTATATATATATATATTTATGCTTCAGGAATAAATCATAGCCTTACATCTGAAGGTAACTCATCACCACTTTCATCATCCATCATCAACATATCAAATGTTGCCATTGGTTTTGTTTTCTTTTTTCCTTTCGTCTCTTGTACCATTTCTTCTTCTGGTTCTTCTCCGTCGTCTTCAGAGTCACTCTTGTGTTTATTTTTCTTCTTTTTTGACTATAGTAAAATAAATATCAATTAAATGTATTTTAGTTGCTTGATTTGAATTTATGCCACGTTCTATATACATTTATACACTTTGTTTTCATAGTGAAAACACAACAAATTTTAATTGTTGAAATATAGTAAAATCATCTTCACTCATATAAAAATATTTTACTATCAAATCACCTCAAGTTATATGTCATTGTTTTTATTGCCTTATTATAACATTTATACGTTGCATATGTTGTACCATTATTTTTTGTGTCTAATCTCTATTTACTTTTCTTTCTTCAGTTTTCATTATTTCTATTTATACAACTTTGGCTATTTTCATTAATTGATACAAGTAATTTTCTGTTTTGTTATTTTCCACATGAAATGAAGATTTAATGTAAATATAAGTTTCAATTCCTATAAACCCAACTGCTATTTCAGAATCTAATGCATTCTGGGTAAAATTTTCAAAAGCATACACAAGAACATTGTGATTGGCTAAACAATGTTCTAAACAATGGAAATATAACCAATGGCATGGCATTGTTTTCATTTAGGGGTACCAACAATGAAGCTACCAATAGTCCTTTACACTCTGAAACAGCAAATTGAACATATTTGTTCTGTAAAATATGTGGTTAATAAAAAGTACTAATCAATTTTTACTTTTATCTTTTGTGGAGGTGGATCGTCCTCATTAACTGTATCAGAGTTAACTCCCTTCTTTGATTCAATCGATAATGTCTCAATTTCTGCTGCAACATCGTCTTCCCTAAAATGCACAATAAATACACATTTATAAATTAATGTAACGCAAAAAATGTTAACTTGGATTAAACAGGAGTAGCCATAAGAATTGACATTAGGTTGGCTTTTTGATATGAATATCTGAGAGCAATTTTATCTAAACTTTTCTGGTCCATAGGGCCAGTCTAAAATATCTTTTACTGGCCTACATCAAAATTACCTGGGGCTGCTGCATAAATCCACTCCTTGATGACCCTATGATAAATCAATAAAGTAATGCGTTCAATAATCTCCTCTACAAGATATTTGTCTGCTAGAGAAAACTAGAGGCTCTCAAGAGCCTGTGTCGCTTACCTGGTTCTACTTTGGTTTTGGAAATCATGTAAAAATAGATTAAAATCATAACAGATACCCTAGTAATGATTAAGGCCAAATTTGGTTTAATATTGGCCCCGTAATTTTATAAAAAATCCTGGTGGCCATCTTGAATAGTAAATCGGCAACAAAGTAGCAACACTTCATCAGTACCTCATAAGGAAAATGTATGCCATGTTTGGTTTCATTCCATTCAGTGCACCTCTAGAAGAAGCATTTGTATGTATTTCCCATAGGGTCCTTTGTTAAACTAAGTCCCCTGCTGGCAGCCATCTTGGTTGATGGATTTGCTACAAAGTAACAACACTTAGTCAGCACCTCATAAGAAACATTCATGCCATGTTTAGTTTCATTCCATTAAGTGGTTCTTCAAAAGAAGACTTTTGCATGTATTTCACATAGGGTCCATTGTTAAACTAAGTTCCCCACTGGCAGCCATCTTGGAGGATTGATTGGCTACAAAGTAACAACACTTGGTCAGCACCTCATTAGGAACATTCATGCCATGTTTGGTTTCATTCCATTCAGTGGTTCTCTAAAAGAAAACATTTGTATGTATTTCCCATAGGGTCCTTTGTTAAACTAAGTCCCCGCTGGCGGCCATCTTGGATGATTGATTTGCTACAAAGTAACAACACTTGGTCAGCACCTCATAAGGAACATTCATGCCATGTTTGGTTTCATTCCATTCAGTGGTTCTTCAAAAGAAGACATTTGTATGTATTGTCCATAGGTCCTATGTTAAATGAAGTCCCATGCTGGTGACCATCTTGGATGATGGATCTGCTTCAAAGTAACAACACTTGGTCAGCACCTCATTAAGAACATTCATGCCATGTTTGATTTCATTCCATTCAGTGGTTCTCTAAAAGAAGACATTCGTATGTATTGTCCATAGGCTCCTATGTTAAACAAAGTAACCTGCTGGCGACCATCTTGGATGATGGATTGGCTTCAAAGTAAAAACACTTGGTCAGCACCTCATAAGGAACATGCATGCCATTTTTGGTTTCATTCCATTCAGTTGTCCTCTAAAAGAAGACATTTGTATGTATTGTCCATAGGTACTATGTTAAAGGAAGCCCCCAGCTGGCGGCCATCTTGGATGATGGATCAGCTTCAAAGTAACAACACTTGGTCAGCACCTCATAAGGAACATTCATGTCATGTTTGGTTTCATTCCATTCAGTGGTTCTCTAAAAGAAGTTCCAAATGTAAAAAGTTAACGAATAGAGGTGTAAGATTCCAAGGGGAAATACCAAACTGACAACGCCAAGGCAAAAACGAAAGACGACAAAAATACAAAAACACAAACACTACATATAAAAAAAATACTTAGCAACAGGAATCACACTAAAAGCCAGGGGTGATATCAGGTGCTTTATAAGGGTAGGTAGATCCTGATTCACCGAATAATCAGCTCAGCTTTGAGATCAAATATATTTTGCATCATGCAAATATTTATATATGTTGAGTTTAACTACATTTTGTACATGTGAAGTTTGGTTGAAATCTGTCATACTGCTAATAAAGGGTCAATACCATATGACATATATATCAATTAACGTTCAAGCAAAATCAATCCCTTTAAAATGTATGACTATATAAAAATAAAATGCTCCGCTGGGCACAGCTTGATACTACCGCAGAGGTCGAACCCTGAACAGTTGGGGCAAGTATGGACACAACATTCAAGCTTGATACAGCACTGAATTTGGATTGTGATTAAATATTTGACACAGCACAGGTTTCTGACACAGAATGAATGTGGTCTAAGAACTTAAAGAAAAAAAAGGAAAAAAAAATCCAAATTTGTTGAACCCCCTTATGATTCATCACCCCCAAACTCAATCCCAGCCTTCCCTTTGTGGTATGGTACCTTGCAGTTCAATTTCAGAGATATCCATACACTTGAACACAAGTTATTGTCTGGAAACTAGAAAAATGCTTCTTTTTTTGGCCCCTTTTTGGCCCCAAATTCCTAAACATTTAGGGCAATTACCCCCAAACTCAAACCTAGCTTTCCCTTTGTGATATGGAACCTTGCAGTACAATTTCATAAAGATCCATACACTTGAACACAAGTTATGTCTGGAAACTAGAAAAATGCTTATTTTTGGTCCCTTTTTGGCCCCTTATTCCTAAACATTTTGGGCAATTACCCCAAAACTCAATTCCAGCTTTCCCTTTGTGATATGGAACTCTGTAGTACAATTTCAGAAAGATCCATACACTTACACACAAGTCATTGTCATGAAACTAGAAAAATGCTTGTTGTTTTGCCCCTTTTTTGGCCCCTAATTCCTAATATTCTGAGGCAATTACCCCCAAAAATCACTCCCAGCATTCCCTGTGTGATATGGAACCTTGTGGTACAATGTCAGAGAGATCCATACACTAACACACAAGTTACATTTGTATGTCTGGAAGTTACAAAAATGCTTATTTATGGCCCCTAATTCCTTAACTGTTGGTACCATAACCCCAAAATCAATCCCAACCTCCCTTTTGTGGTATTGAACCTTATGGTAAAATTTCATAGAGATCCATTCACTTAAACTACAGTTAGAGTGCGAAAACCAATGTTTCTTCAGATGACGACGACGCCAACATCATACCAATATACGACCGCAAAAATTTTTTGCAGTCGTATAATAAGGAGATGAGGTATGATTGCCACCAGAGTTCAAATAAAGTGGATGTAAGCAATTATAGGCAACCGTATAGCCTTCAACAATGAGAAAAACCCATACCGTATAGTCGACTATAAAAGGCCCTGACATGAAAAATATGAAACAATTCAATTGAGAAAACTAATGGCCCACATTTTGTCATCAAACCTAGAATCAGTGTTTTCCATTAAAAAATAAACTGTTAATGCAGAGATATGTCTCGCCTATTTATTATCTTCATAACACAAATGTTGAAATTAAAATAGCAATACTTTAACATGTAGGTTATGCAAATATTCAAAGTCAATGAACCATGACTGAAGGTACAGGGCTAAACAATCTCCATGGAAATGAGATGTACCAATGCTAATACAACTGCATACCGAATACCATTGACTTTTCATAAGTCGTTCCCTTTAAACAAACATAAACACAAACATTAAATTGTAAACTATGTAAAAGTTTCAAATTCAATGAACTATGATGAGGGGGCAGGGCTATATAATCTCCATGGAAAAGAAACTTCAAATATCATTGACTTAACATTAGTGGTTCATCTTTAACTGAACTAATCACAAACTAATACATGTAAACTGAGCAAAAGTTTCAAAGTCAATAGACCATGACTGAGGGGGCGTGGCCAAATAATCTCCATGTAAATGAGGTATGCCAATGCTAATACAACTGCATACCAAATATCATTGACATACCACTAGTGGTTCCCCTGAAACTGACCTAATCACAAACTAATACATGCAAACTAAGCAAAGTTTTAAATTCAATAGACCATGACTGAGGGGGTGGGGCCAAATAATCTCCACGGTAATGAGATGTGCCAATGCTAATACAACTGCATACCAAATTCCATTGACCTTCCACTAGTGGTTCACCATAAACTAGACCTAATCACAAACTAATACATTGTTGATGCTGCTGCCGCTGCCGCCAAGGTGAGACAAAAAGCATTGAGGTACAGAGGAGACCAGGAAAGAATAGTTGAACCAAATATTGAAGCAATGGGAAAGAAAACACTTCAAAAGAATTTTATGGATCTCCATGGACACATGATGGATGAAAATTTAACAATGGAGGAACTTTTACCATGACAAAACCCAGCGTCTACAGCGTGTCATGATCTTAAGTATTTCATTCCTCATTTCTATGTAAGGAATGGTGAACAGACTGATATATTGCTTAATATTTATTTCATAAAAGAATTACCAATATTTTTATTAATTGTTATTTGTAACAATTCAAATGTCAAGCCTGCATGGCTCCCCCTTAATCAAGAATGACAACAAGCTGTCCTTAAAGTTCCCAATTCGTTTTCTTGCTATTTCGGTAATTGTTAAGGGCTTAAAAATCGGGGGGATCTTTTTTTCTCTGTCAAATTCAGAAGTCATGAACTGGTATCGACGAATTGCAGCATCAACATCAAGAAGTTTCGTACCCGTTTTATAAAACGTTGAAGAAAGATTTGGAGGGTAAAAGTTTACAACTGAAACGGTTTTAATGACTTTAAATTTCAAATTTCATAGTAATAGACAATGCATCATGCATCTTTCGATTCTGAATGTAAACCCAATTGCAAACTACGAAATGAATTCAGAATTACCATACGAAATTTCTTCAGATTATCAAGTTGAAATTAAAATTCTAGTACTGTAAATTCAGAAATTATTGCGTGTATTTATTATTGCGATTTTGTCATTTTAGACAAAATGTGATTTTAATTTTTGCGATATTGAGAAAAATCCTGTTTAATTCATATAAAAAATTTCAAAATGCGAGTTTAAATTATTGCGATTATAACCCTGTCGCATTTTTCGCAATAATAAAAACATCGCAATAATTTCTGAATTTACAGTATTTACTTTTAAACTTGTACATTGGTTCAATATTATCTATAATTGTTGTACTCGTGTTATTTGGCATGAAATTATGTTCTGTTTTACGTCTTATTTTGTACTTGTTTTAAAAAAAAGGGGGATGCTGATTGCGTAAAGCATGTGTTCGACTTGTTAAACTTATTTCTACATAACTGAATTTAAAATTTATTTTTTAATCTAAATTTTCATTAGGATTTGCTAAAACGTAATTCAATAATGCAATCGACTGTTCATCTAGATTAAGTGTTCTCCTGTCAGATGTGTCGATCTTCCTATACAAGTTATTTGCGATCTTTAGCTGGATATCCTCATGGCTTAAAAACTGTAATCAGGAACACCCTTTGGATTATAATACAATAAGGGTTATGCAATTACATGTATTTGATTATGATTGCTAAAAAAAATTGACAATGGCGGGGATCATTTGACGATGGAGGGGAACATTTGACAATGGCGGAAGATATTTACACTAGTGGTGCGCCATCATAATACAGGTCGTGGAGATACTGGGATTGTCAGATTTAAAGTTTGGTTAATTATAATGGGTTGCAACTTATCCCTTACTTCTAACATAAAACATGTTTTTGGCATAATAAAATTTCTACATATAAATTTACAAGAAAAATGGAAATTAAGAGAATATATGTCTGTGTTGTCTTTTCATGCAGGATCAACTAAATTTCACAGACCGTTAATATAATTGGTGTTCCTACTTTTTATCTTAAATTACTGTTTAAATATTTTTCCTTTCAACAAATACATGTATGTCTAAACAAGTCAAGAAAAAGGATGTTGATTAAGAGACATGACAGAAGCCAGGGGTGATCTGAAAGGGTTATTTTATGACAACAGGTTGGACTCCAATTTCAGCATTGAATGTTGAATTGAGACCAGACATCCATTTGAGCAAAACATATATACAAATTTCTCTATATCTGTAAATATATAAATTTACCAATCGTCTTTCTTTTTCTTTTTCTTATGTTTTCCAGTAGGTTTCTGTGATGTGGCTGGCTCATCTAATTCCTGGTTAGCTAAAGGATCTAAATCAACTTCGTCGTCGTCACTACAAAACAGAAAATTGAGTCTGAAACTTGCTCTTTAAGACCAAATAAAAGTACATGTGTGGCTCCAGTTACATCCTGAAAAATGCGCTCCGCCTGGAGCAGCTGGATATGACCGCAGAGGTCGAACTCAGAACAGTTGGGGCAAGTATGGACACAATATTCAAGCTTGATACAGCTCTGAATTTGGATAGTGATTAAATATTTGACCCATTATAGATTTCTGACACAGAATAAATGTGGTCAGATAACTTAAAAATTTGAAATGGGACATTTAATCTACTTAATGATCCAATATCCCAAATCAATTCCACGGTTAGATTCAGCATATGAAAAAAAACCATGAATTCAAACAAAGTTTAATTTTGGACCCTTTGGACCTTAATATGGACTAATTTGAAAACAGGGCCCAAAATTAAAAATCTGAATGCACAGTTAGATTCAGCATATCATAGAACCACCAAAATTCTGTTTTTGATGAAATCAAACAAAGTCTAATTTTGGAGCCTTTGGACCGCAATGTAGACCCATCTAAAAATGTCCAAATATCCAATATAGTAATACAGAGTAAAAACCTCAAACAATTCAAGACAATTCATTAAAATTGGTTATAAGATTTGTATTTATTTTCAATTGAAGATTTCTTGCTGTTGTGCAATACTTAATTTCTTGCTGTTGTGCAATACTTAGTAAATCTGTTTACAAACTAAATATAATAATTAACACACCCTGTTTGGTGTGTATCTCCTGCCGTATCAGTATTTTTTGTTTCTTTATATAGATCAGAAATAATTTATGTTAGAACCAGCTTAGCCAGTATTAGAAAAGTCTTTTTTTTGGCTCCTACATGTATTTGTCCTCTAGTTTCTTAACGATTAAAGTCACAACCCACAAAATCGACCCCAACCTTCTGGTTGTGGTATGGAACCTTGTGGTACAATTTCATAGAGATCCATTGACTAATACATAAGTATTTATCCGGAAACCAGAAAAACCATAACCCCCAAAGTCAATCCCAACCTTCCCTTTGTGGTACAATTTCATTGAGATCCATACACTTATACACAAGTTATTTTCCGGAAACTAGAAAAATGTCTTTTTGGCCCCTTTTTGACCCCTCATTCCTAAAAAAATTGGGACCATAACATCCAAAATCAATCCCAACCTTCCTTTTGTGCTATTGAACCTTGTGGTTAAATTTCATAGAGATCAATTCACTTATACTAAAGTTATTGTCTGGTAACCAGATGTCTGGATGACGACGACATGATAGCAATATTCGAACGCAAATTTTTTGCAGTCGTATAAAAAAAAGGGTCGGTAGGTTGGCATTTTTTTTTTTGGATTGTCATAATGTGGAAAAAAAATTTGTGTCCACCGAGTCAGAATCCGGTATTATACACATCCCTACCGGAAGTTCGCCATTTTCCATATGTTTGGTTGTAAAATAAAAGACATGTTACTTTTTTAGTTAATTTTGTTGCATTCTGTTAAGAATTTGTTGCATTTTTAGCCGTAGTGGATACTTCTAATGGAAATTCAGATGACAGAAGTCTGTGAATTTAATTATTTAAATTCACATTCCAGAAAACAGGATGGTTCAAAAATTATTTTTCAGAAATGGAAAAAAAGTTATAAGGTCAGGCGGGTAACTGGAACCACACATATACTTTTATTTCATTTTTGGCCTAATTCAATACATGTCAAGTATATATCTTTTAAGTCTTTAATATAATAAAATGCTTCGCTGGGGCGCAGCTTGATACGACCGCAGAGGTCGAACCCTGAACAGTTGGGGCAAGTATGGACACAAAATTCAAGCTTGATACAGCTATGACTTTGGATTGTCATTAAATATTTGACACAGCATAGGTTTCTGACACAGGATGAATGTGGTGTAAGAACTGGAAAAAATTTAATTTACCTATTATGGTGGAATATCCATAAACTAAATTGTTTGTTAATTTCAATATATCAAAGAATATGTAGAATTCAATGTTTGATGTAATGTAATAAAGTTGAAATTTGGACCGTTTTTGTTCAATGTGGACCAATTCGGTAACATGTATAAATAATCAAAAATCTAAATACATGGGAGCCCATTTAAATACATCATAAAGGTATTAAAATAGAAAGTGACATCATAGTCATGGCTAAAAATAAACAAAAATCCTTAATCAGCAACATTTAAAGTAATATCTAAAAAATAAAATTCCTTTGTAACCATAAAAGCCCATTTAAATACATCATAACAGATATTAAAATAGAAAATGACATCATAGTCATGGCTAAACATAGAAAAAAACCCTTAATCAGCATCATTTAACAGTAATATCTAAAAATGGAAATTACATCATAAAGGTATTAAAATAGAAAATGACATCATAGTCATGGCTAAAAATAAACAAAATCCTTAATCAGCATCAGCAACATTTTATAGTAATATCTAAAAATAAAATTCCTTTGTAACCATAAAAGCCCATTTAAATACACCATAACAGATATTAAAATAGAAAATGACATCATAGTCATGGCTAAACATAGCAAAAACCTTAATCAGCATCATTTAACAGTAATATCTAAAAATAAAAATTTCTTTGCAACCATAAAAGTAAAATAGAAAATGACATCATAATCATAGCTAAAAATAAACAAAATTTTTTTTTATTGGCAAATTTTAAATGGAGTTTATTATACTAAAACAATAAATTTGCAACCATAAACATGATAAAACCCCATTTAAACACATCATAAAAGTATTAAATAATTCAACTACATCATAAGGCTATAAAATAGAAAATGACTTCATAGTCAAGGCTAAAGGTAAAAAAAAAACCTTCATCAGCAAAATTTTATATTGGCAAATTTCCAATGAAGTTTATTACACTAAAATTGTTGGCAAATTTCCAACGCATTTATTAACAATAAAGTTATTGGCAAATTTCCAATTTACATAATTTAAAAGCAGTGTAGATGAGATATTTAAATGAGTTTGAATTACCAACCTTACACTGCTTTTAAATAATGTTCTTTACTCAATTATTTGTCTATTAAAATGGAAACCCTTGTTTTTTAACCTTTTTCCCCCTTATTCCTTAAACATTAGAGCCATAACCACCCCCCCCCCCCCCCCCCAAAGCCAATTATTACTTTCCAATGTAACTTAAATTTCCAATATAAATAATTTTAAATTTCAATTCCTCATGATATATAACCGTATCATTATTATTTTCTTTCATATATAAATCCGAAACAACCATCTTTAAATGGAAAATTTTAAAGAAAAAAAAATGAAGAAAAAAAAATCCTACCTCCCACACATTTTTCAACCCCCTTTTGATTCATCATCCCCCACCTCAATCACAACCTTCAATTTGTGGTATGGTACATTGCAATACAATTTCACAGAGATCCATACACTTGAACACAAGTTTTTGTTGCAAACTGAAAAAATCCTTATTTTTTACCAATATTTGGCCCCTTATTCATAAATGTTTAAGCAATTAACCCCAAAACTCAATTCCTACTTTCTCTTCGTGATAAAAAATAACTAACTTAAAATGTAAATTTTAAACAAAAAAAAAAAGGAAAAAAAAAAATTACCCCTTTTTTGACCCCCGCCCCCCTTATGATTCATCACCCCCACCCCCCTTTCCCCCCAAACCAAGCTCAATAACAGCCTTGCCTTTGTGGTATGGTACCTTGTAATACAATTTTAGAGAGATCCATACACTTGAACACAAGTTATTGTCTAGAAACTAAAAAATGCTTATTTTAAACCCCTTTTTAGGCCCCTTATTACTAAACGTTTTGGGCAATTACCACAACACTCAATTCCAGCTTTCCCTTTGTGAAATGAAACCTTGTAGTAAAATTTCAGAAAGATCCATACACTTACACACAAGTTATTGTCATGAAACTAGAAAAATGCTTGTTTTTTGCCCCCTTTTGGCCCCTTATTCCTAAAATTTTGAGGCAATTAACCCCAAAATCAATCCCAGCATTGACCCTTTGTGATATGGAATCTTGTGGTACAATGTCAAAGAGATCCATATGCTAACACACAAGTTATGTCTGGAAGTTACAAAAATGCTTATTTTCGGCCCCTTTTTGGCCCCTAATTCCTTAACTGTTGGTACCATAACCCCCAAAATCAATCCCCACCTTCCTATTGTGTTATTGAACCTTATGGTAAAATTTCATAGAGATCCATTCACTTAAACTAAAGTAAGAGTGCGAAAACCATTGTGTATTCGGACGACGACGCCGGACGACGACGACGACGACGACGCCAACGTCATACCAATATACGACCTCAAAATTTTTTTGCGGTCGTATAAAAAGTCTAAAACTAATCAAAAGAATATCTGTGATATCCAATATAGATATATAGGACTCTGAACCGCGATGGTACTCCGAACCGTGATGGTCACGCTGATGTGTGATGGTTTAAAGCTAAAGTGTGTTTTTGATCACGCCGAAGTGCGATGGTGGCATTGTGACGCTATCTTGATGTTAGCTACACCGAAGTGTGATTGTGGTTACGCTGAAGTACGATGGATTACATAAATCATATGTTTAATGTTTTTTTAAGTTTACATGTCGATGTAGAAGTCAATTTCTGTTTTAGAAGAAGCTTTTCGTTTTTTATGTAAATCATCAAGGGTATAACTCCTTTAATTTAAAACAGTCGAGATACATAGTCATTCCTGTAACGTTATAGTGTACATTATACGGTACTTGGTAAATAGCACCCATCAATAGCTTGGACAACAAAAAGCAGTAGTTCATATGATCTTTCATAAATTAACATTACATACAAAAGCTGTTTTCCTTTAAAAGTAGTATTAATTCATTGGCTGAAAAACATGTGGTAGTTATTTGAAATGCAGATACTTCCTGGTTAGTCAGAACGAAACAAAATAATCGAAAAATGTATATGTCTGCTGTGAATAAGAACAAGGAATAAGATAAATCACCGATGTTTTTTGGATTACAACTAGAGAAAATATTGAATGTTTGGTATTTATATACATGTACTAATTTAGATAAAAATAGAGCTCCCATAATAACTGAACACCTGTAAATTTTAAACTAGCCAACAAGCGTCTTTTAAAATATCGCATTTCAGCGTCCCCATCGCACCTCCGAGTCCTACATATATGTTAAACAAATCTAAACACTTTGCATGTTACAGTGTTCCAGCTTGAATCTCAGGGCAGAAGGGTGCTAGTTGTCTGAAAGGGCACTTTAGCGTTATAACCCAGATTTTAAGGGCAATGTTGGACAGTGTATAAATTACCTTGAATATTGCTAGGCTCAGCTGGAGAACATTAGTTGTATTTAAACCATATTCAGAAATTAATGTGTTCTTGATGTTGGTTCCAGTAAGAATTTTTTTTCATCAAATTATCATACCATGAAGCAAAGCATATCATTTTGATGTTAATCTAAATAAACTTGTACATTTGGTATGGAAAATAATCATCAGAAATTTCAATGTTTTATAACTTATACCAAAATAAACAAGTAGTTTTGAAAGATGGAGTTATACATGCAAAATTGAATGTTGAATGTAATTAAATTATCTACATTTAAATTACTTGTTCAAACATATAGTATATATGTTACTGAGAGTTATTTATTATCATTTGAATTGTTTCAAAAAAGTATTTTTAAGTACACACCAAAGTGCTCCTCAGTAAGGTGTTTTATAAATATAACAGGTGAGACAGGAGATGATCATATTTTATATTGATGCAATAATATATTGCAGAATGTATAAACAGTTACTTTTTTCTCCATCATTGTTAAAAATAAATTTGTTGAGTGCTCCTATGTCAGGAGGATTATAAAATACAAGAAGTATAAAAAACAGGAAGTGAATCTTGTTATGTTCAAAGTACTACAAATTTCTTTGATTCCTCTTTAAATTTCATACTCATGGTTATGAAACAAAATTTTTTTACCAATTAAGTCAATACTATGTATACCTTTAAAATTGTTTAAGATTTTATTTTTTATGTTATGCCTACTGAAATAAATTTTTTCAGGTGTACATGCTGTACATAAACATTACAAATGGATAACATGTGGACATTTCATTCTGTATTAAATATCTAGTATTTGTTCAATTATCTTAAATCCGCTAATTAGCAGTAAACAATCATTAACAAAGGTGATAAAACTGCCAAAGCACTAGGTATTTAACTTAATCCCATTGTCAGTTAATTAGTGTTACACAATCACTGAATCAGGTAACAATTTTACCGGAAACACCGGTAGGCATGAAATTTGGAAATTTTATTTTTTTGAAAAGGCAGAGGGGTGCATTCTTTTACTTTGGAGGGCAGAAGGGCAGGGGTAAGGGCACCAAGGGCGGGCTGCCCTTCTTTTTAGGGGAGGCGGGAACACTGTGTTAATTTGTGATAGTTCATTGAAAAGGTCTGAAGTGTTGTAAAACTATGTGTGGCGTATCCACAGCTGTTAGGGTAGATGTGTTGGGATGACAAGAAAGCCACTTGCTTGAATTTAAACTTTTCTCATTAAAGTATAATATAATCTAAATAGATGCATATATATATTAACTTACAAGAACTTGTGGTTTGTAGTCAATTTTAAGATAGTACAGTGAATGATGAAATAGTTGTGCAATACTTAAATACCCAACATAGATCTATATTTACACTTTAGGTAAGAAGAACCCAATCATATTAATGGACCAACCAAATCAATATCCTTCCATATTTAGTTGTCTAATATGAAGTCAATGCTTCATGGATCAGAATCTTTTACAACTAATACATTGTACAATGTATATATAAATGTAGTATTCATATAGTGAAATTAGTTTATGATATATAATTTAAACATAAATTTGATGCTCCTTACTAGCAAGAAAATCATGGATATTGAAGAGGCTTTCAAATTGAAACAGAATCAATTCATAGAAATGGAAAATATGTTGACTGACAAAAAAGTCTGACATAATTGTAGACATTCATCACCGACATCAGTTCATAAGATCATGACCACCTCATCTTGCGATTCCCGTTTATAAGCTACATTTTAAATTATTCTACAAATCTTAATATTCCGTTCGTTCATCAAAAAGAGCATTACAAAGACATTTTTTATTTTTTAAATATTTGTTATTATTTGTTTTGTGATTTGTAAAAAAACAGAAAGCCTTCTTTTCTTCTTATTTTTTACTCAATTTTGACTTACAAGTCGTCATTTTGACCTTTTCGGTTTTTATTTCTTGGTTTGCCCATTTCGTATTTTTTTGTTTGACAAAGAAATGCTTTAAACAGGCTTCAGACTCGAACATGTGTCAAATATTTCCGAAAATTTCTCAATCTGTGTCGCATGTACAGCTGTCTTCCGGTAACATACGCTTGATGGGAATAATAAAACATTTGAGTAAAAACCCAAAGGAAAAGTAATTTCAACAACGTTAGATAACGTTCCAGAATGAAAAAAATGCCGAAACTAATAAATCATGTTTGTGGTTGTGATATGAGGGCTTTGAATCATAAGTTTTGACCAGCAACGACTGCTAAATATAATAATGTGATTTGCTATATACCTTATCTGTAGAGATTTTCATTAAGGCACTAACTACTTATGCCTTCTCAGTTTATATGATAGTCAAAATACACTTGCCTGGTGTACTTGGGTCAATGTCAGCATAATTCTACTTCTCTCATGATATGAATTGATATGTTGTTGTTAAGTGGTGTTTTTGTTATCATGTCTATTGTCTAGATGTTCTGAACAGTAGGCACGATTTCTAGAAAAGCAAGTTAAAGGGCCGCATTAACGATACGATTTTGATAATGTAAGTTAAGGTGAATCATCACTATATATTTCCTCAGATCAAATTTTCTTATACTTTGCCAAAATGGAGATTTTGCCATACTTTTTAAATAAATATAATCAAAAGTATGGGTCACTGTTCTATTTTTAAGCTACAAGTCATCCAAAATTGCCCAAATTTGCATAGATTATTCATGAAAAAACACCTTTTTGTCAATAAAAAGATGATGATGATGGATTGCTGCTTAATGTCCAGCGGTAAATTAATATGCATATTCAGGACGAGAACATGTTAATGTAATATGAATTTTAACCCTGCTTTGTACTAGACCGACACGCTGACCCGGATTTTTAACGTGCTAATTCAATAAAAAGAAATCTATGAAATAGAATTTTGAAATAAGATATTAAAAGATAGAAATGGATTTATAATATGCTTTAAGAAAATGAAAAATAAAAATGGTGTCACAGAATCTGTTTTCTTGATACAAGTAAGAAAATGAAAAGTTCACTGTCATTCCCGTATAAAAAAATTACTGTATGAGTTTTGTCTCCCCTTATATGGCTAAGTTGAAAAATTGCATCAAACAAATATACAAAAATAGTATTTGTTAAAACAGTATATATAATGTAATAAATCACGTACTTTTCATTATTCAAACTAACAGTCTTACACATTAATTGACAATCTGTCTAAATATTTGAAGATTTAAGCAAAGAACTTGACCGATTGTGTACTGATACTTTACAATCCACGATAGTGGTATACAGTTAATCTACCTTAAACAATCATGTTAAAGTTAGTAGACAACGACGACGACGGACGCCAAGTGAAGGTTAAGCTCACGCTGGCCTTTTGAGACAGGTGAACTTAAAAGAAGGGAAAACACTAAGGGCGCCGTGAATTATTTATTTTAGATTTTAACTCTCCACCATTTACTCTCGATCATCATTAAAAATGGTTTGCAGAGAAATTAGTGTATTGTTAGTTCACTAAATGGAACAATACTTGAACATTTCTTCAATACAATCTACAATAGATTGGCCATTAAATGCATGGTTAGGTAGAATAACTGTATACCGCCATCTTGGATTGTAAAATAGCAGTACACAATCGGTCTAGTTCCTTGCTTACATCTACAACTTTTGAGGCAGATAGGCATTTAATGCGTAAGAATTTTTATCTAAATAAAGAATAACAAGTGATTTATTGAATTATTTAGATCGCTTTAAGAAATACCAAATATTTGTTTTTTTAATCATTTTTTCAACTTAGCCATTTAAGGAGAGATAACTACAAAAGTAATTTTTTTATAAAGGAATGTTTACTTGAGAAATTTTCATTTTTTACTTGTAGCAAGTTCAGTGACACAATTTTTTATTTTTATTTTCTTGAAGCATATAAAAACCTATCTTCTCATATTTTATTTCAAATTCTATCTCATAGATTTTTTTATTCACAAAAAAGTGTTTTTTCATGAATAATCTATGCAAATTTGGGCAATTTTCACGACTTGTGGCTTGAAAAATACTACTGTGGTGTAATGAAATGGAAGTTCCTTCATAATATAAGTCCTAAGTGGAAGAAATATTCTGTAATACGATATCAACTGGAACAAATATTTAAGTATTTGTTCCTTACGAGATAAAGGGTATAGATTACAGTGGCGCCGGATCCAGAAATTTTCATAAGGAGGGGCCCACTGACTACCATAAGAGGGGGCCCGCTTAGTCATGCTTCAGTGATTCCCTAAATAATCAACCAAATTTTGCCCACAAAAGGGGGGGCACCCTGCCCCGCCCCCCTTAAATCCGCCTCTGTTAGAATATTTGTTCCGACAGGACGGACCAGATATTATGACATTGTTTATAACAGTTTCCAGGTGAACTTCTGTTAGGCGGAACAGATATACATTGACACCGGCACTTATAAATTCTACTGTGATAATATATTCGTATAACGTTAGAAAGATTGAATCTGGAGTAATTTTAAAATGTGTATCAATAAACTTTACATAAATCTCACTAAGATACGAAACAAATACGTCTTTTCACCGACTTCATTTTAATTTTAAAGGTGTGTCATATTTGTCTGATCCTATGTGTAATTATACGCAACCTATTACTTCCTTTCTGTACTCACTGTTCTCAACAACAACACGTTTCTCATCTGTTCTTAGCTTTTACTCATTTCTGTCGCATACACACACTTACAACACTTTAAAATGATTTCTCTCTTGTTATTTTACTGCTCACTTTGTTCTTATTTGATCAGTATTTTACTGAAATGATGAGAATCGCAGGCTAGCATATGCCATGATGCCATGCACAAAATTAAGTTGGACATGATGACGAAATTGAACGGATATATGAAATGGGCGCGCATAATCATGTGCTGCTAATTTATGAACAACAATCATGTCTGATCCAACTATTTTTATTAATAAACCAAGAACATGAAGGATTAAAAGAAATTGAAAAAATACGGCTTAAATATAATAATGGAGTTGTCTCTCTTTGTCCAAGTCGATATCGTCAAAAAAAAACGTTTATGTTGACATTTCTATTTTATGATAAATTTAGTTAAAAGTTTTTATACAATCAATATAATAATTATTCTAATGAACCATTATTGTCTTATTAGTTGATTGTTTATTATGTTATGCTTTTAGTTGTAATTAATTTGCCCTTCAATGGACACCTTGATTGGTTAATAAAATTATCTGTATTTGTACGAGGACGAGTTTTTTTTAACGACCTTGACAATACCCATGGGGGTCTTGCATGGTCGGTATCTGTAGAGAAGACAAGAGAAATACTTTATTAAAGTCTCCCTCAATATTGACATATATTCATACACATATTGATAGAATCACAGTATCACTGAAAACAACAAGAGCCACACTAAAAAGAGTTATGAGAGACTATAATATCATTTCAACAAAACACACAACTATTTACAATTATATAAAATACTTTTTCTTTTTAATAATACATAGCAGACTTTGGCTAAAAAATAACACGCTTTCATCGGTGAATTAAAACCTGAATTTAGCACCATCGGACAAATTCACAAAATCACAATTAAAAGACCTAGCATGGCTAAATAAAATAGCACACACATCTGTACATACAGGGCAGTTCAATAGAACATGTTTCTCGTCTCCAATAATATTATTTTCATTACATTGTTCATAAAACAATCTATTTTCAACCACAATACCTTCATCTTTGACACATTCACCATTTCCATTCTCAATTTTATAACAACCAGTTTCTAGTCTCAGAGGCCCAACACCACACCGAAATTTTACAAATACACTCTTAAATTTACTAGACTTAGTCGGAGAACCATTTCTTCCCTATATCTACAAAAATTATCCTTTCCAATCTGTTTACCGGGTATTTTTTTATCAATAGTTATATCAGTATTACATAAAAAAAAAATCCATATTAATTTCTTTAAATTTCACATGGACTTTATGGTTCCAATTTTAAATTCTACTATTACAATATTTATTTCCCCATAAGAAAATCTTTTTATTTACTCTACTATGAGACATTTTAGTAAGTCTAGACCGTATTCTAAAAATGCATTTCCACCGAGATATAATACAGGGCATCCAACCCATATCTCCATATAAAGCCAAGTTAGGGGTGTATTTTCAAACACCAATAAAAAATCTCATTGCTCTCTTTTTTTACAGCATTACTGCAAAAACATACCCCAGTGACCCCACATTGAGGCACCATATTAACTGGCGTACAGACCAACCTGTTCACCTAGAAAAGTTTAAAGGCATGACATGAACTACTTAAATACAATCTAATGAATTTATTTCTCAGAAAAATAAAAATTTTGAATTCATTTTCATCATATATTACCAACCTACCGAATTTAAATGGTCGTCCCCTTAAAGCGTGAATTCCGATACCAAAAAGCATTGAGAATGAGAAATTTTAGAAATATCGAGAGAACGACATTACCCAGAGTGTCCAGAACTCTCAATGATAATCTGAAGCCGGGATTCATTGTTATTGTGAATCCACCTACTCTATGGGGCGGTGTGATGATGAGATGTGGTTCCTGAAAAAAAAAATCTGTCAAAGAATAAAACATTTGACTTTTTTACCGTTTAAACAAGTATTGCCCAATTCCAATTTCAAAGACATATTTGTCACAGATGCGGATCAAAGATTTTGAACAAGGGGGAGCCCGGGGCCCCAACCTAAATCCCTGCCCCTAAATCCGCGCCAGGGTCATACTTTGTTTAATAAAACATGGTCAACGTAGATATACATAACTTGTTTAAGGGAGGGATAAATCATACTTTATGAAAAAAAAACACTCTAACTGAAACAAAATAAGTCACTGAACTGATATCATCAGAATGTTTTATTTCTTGATTGACATTTGTTACGTTTTGTTGACGTGTCTTTCATCAAACAATCTATATATATATGAGGGGCCTGATGGGTTATTTTCGTTCTTCGTGATCGGCGCATTTTCGCTATCGTGATCCGTTTTTCTACAGATTTTTTTTTTATATTTTCGTGATCCGTGATCATGGAAATTTATTTTC